AAACCAGATTAATAGAAGCCATTTCTTTTTCCCTGGTTTCATATCCCAATCTTGTAAAGCTACTGATCTTACTCCCCCACCAGAAAATGATAAGAAATTTGTAGGACTTTCCATCAGCCTCAGCAGTTGAAAGCTTATGTTAAGATGCTTTGAAACGCGGGAACAACCACAACAGGAGCAAAGGCAAGACGAGGAGGAGCAGATAGCCAGGGATAGGAAGAGGAAGGGTAAGGCTGTCGAATAGGGATGTGCAAAAAATCCAAAATAACCAAACCACTTTGAAATCCAATCCAAACAGCTCCATAAAAACCGGTTTATTAAAACAATTTTTAAAACCAAACTGGATTTTATATTTTGGATATGGTTCAGTTTTGATTTTATTAAAACAGTTTGGATATCCTAATTAACTGATCCAAACTGAAACTAAGTCTTCCCAAAGGCTTGGACAAAGAATGAGACCTGTGTCCCTGTTCTTTCTTCTGCAGCGGCAATAACTACCATCTAATATATATATATATATATATATATATATATATATATATATATATATATCTCTCATTTTAGGTACTGCTAAGATGGATATCCATTGATTTACTGCTCCTATGTGAATTGTTATGCTATTCCATTTCTGGGTATTGATTAGCTTATATTTTCTCATTGCTTTTATTTGGAGGCCTCATCTTAAGATGTGCTGAGTTGACTTGTTTTTATACTAAATTCCGATTTTTTTTTCTCTGGGTTTGTTCAAGTTGGCAATCATGTTTTTTTCTTCCGGAAAATTTCCCAGAGACTTAAAATTAAGACATAATCAATCATAAGAGGTGGCGTTTAGGATGAATTTGGCAGCATTTGTATAATGTAAGTCTTAAGGGGGCAACTGATACTTGCAACAAACATTTGAGAAATTTGTATTGTGTTATTGCTTATGGTAAAGCTTTTGCCCTCTACAATACAATGCCTACACATCTCTCTCTCTATATGTGGATGTGAATGGATGACTAATAAAATGGAATAGCTCATTAGACTTAGACATCTTATTCTCTTGAGTTGACCTCCCTAATTATGGATGTTTCTTCCACTGTTGTTGTTTTTTTCTTAACAATCGATATTATTATTAACTCATATTTCATAACTTTAAAAATACATAATCAAATATGAATTCTTTGCATTTACCTCAAAAATTGGCAGTAAGGATTACTAGTCATAATCCATAATAAGCTACAGATTATCCATATGTGATTTTGATTTAAAATGAATTTCATTTAAATTTGTTTTTAAACAGGTTTTCATTTGAAACCAGTTTTGAATTGGTTTTTATTTAAAACCGATTTTGAACCACAAATCAGTTTTGAATTGGTTTTTTGTATTTAAAACCAGTTTTGAATTAAAACCAGTTTTAAATCAAAACCGATTATTAACCATAAATCGGTTTGGATATTTTAAAATTCGGTTTTAAAAAAGAAAACCAGTTCAGTTTGAAAACCAAACCGTTTAAATCTAGTTCGGTTTGGATTTTGTCAAAACCGGTTCATAACCGCTCCATGAACATCTCTACTGTCGACCTCAAACCATCAAAGAAAACTAAGGTAAAGGTACCTAGGGTGATTAACCTAAGAGCACCTACCCATTCCTCTAATCACGAAGATGAAATTTTGTTTCGTTCCTTACTTCAGCTTGCATCACTTGAACTTCCAAAAGAATAGCAGAATATGATAATAGCTCACATCAACCTGCTACCAGAAGCACTCAACAAACTCTCTAATGCCCTAATGCAATTCCAGGAGCAACAGAAAACTAGTGATGAAGCTATGATAAAAGCTCTTAAGGGAAAAAAGAGAAAAGAAGAGACAAGCGAATAAGAAGATGAGAAGAGCAACTCAGACTAGACGAAAAACATCTTTGTTACACCTACTCCATTATCTTTCTGCATTACTTTTATTTTCTTTCGTTTGCATATATTAGTGTGGGATTTTACTATTTTCTATTCTTATTTTTTTTTAGTTTGAAGGAACCTATTTATTCCATTTTTCAATTATAAAATTTGCTGTTTGGAACGAAATACCCTGTTTACTATTTGATGCTTTGCACAACTCATTTGTTTTAATTGTTTTTTATTTGGAAAAATCAAAAGCAAAAGTATTTTAGTGTTAAGCAGCATTTTTAACTCAGAAACAAATTTTTTTGAAAAGTGAGAAAGAATAAGTTGAATTTTGATCCAAGTGACCTTTAAATGTAAGTAACGAAAAGCTAAACACTTAAATTCTTTGAGCGAGTGTTCCGGAGAATTTTTATCTATCGTTCCCAAACTTGTGTTAACTTTGTTAGTACTGCAGAATCACTTCGATAAAATAATAATAATCTTATTATACTTGGATACCATCAAATTGAATAGAAAGTGAATCTCTTATAAATTAATGAATGTTAATCTATAATTCTTCTATTCATATAGATACAGTATTCTATATGAATAGAAGAATTATAAAATTTGGAATTGAAATCGACTAATAATTAACCCCAATTCGGTATATTTTCTTTACTTTATAGGAGTATGTTTATGTTTTTGCTTTATGAATATGAAATTTTTTGGGCATTTCTAATAATATCGAGCTTTATTCCTATTTTGGCTTCTAATTTCTGGAATTGTAGCCCCGACAAAGAAACTTTCTAGTTATGAATCGGGAATAGAACCAATGGCTGATCCTTGGTTACAATTTTGAATCCATTATTATATGTTTGCTCTAGTTTTTGTTTTTTTTGATGTGGAGACTTCAAATGGAGAAGGGCCATCTTTCAACTAAGCTTGAGCCAAACAGCCAACCTCCACATCATTCCATAGTCACCATTAGCCAAGCCAAAACATTCATCTAATTCAAAACCATCCCCCATCACCATGAATTCCCTTCACTAGAGCAAGAACGACAAAAAGCATAGCTATTAGGAACATCAACAAAGAAAAATCCAAAGAATTTCAAGGAACATCAAAAACAAAAAGAATAAGATCAACTACTGATAAAGAAGGAAAAAGAGACACGTTCCCCAGACGAAAAGAAGAAAGCATTTAGAAATAAAGGTGTTCCCAGAAAGTCACAAGAGGTGTTCCTGCGAAAAAGAAGAAAAGACCAACCGTTCCCTACTCTGAATTATCCAACCTCTAAACACGTCCACCCAAGCTTAAACCCCATTACAAGCCTTAAAAGTCCCTTTGATTGGAGAAAACAAGTGATTTATAGGAAAACAGAGGCAATCCAAGTTCAAGGAACCACAAATCTTCTAAAACAATGAGTGAAACAGTACCCATGAGTGACTGGCAAGATATAGATCGATAACCCTGCATGACTTTGATTGAAATCTTTCTTAACTTTATGAGCTATGATATGAATTTGTTTCTGTATGAATTTTGTTCCTTGATTTGTGATTGTTAAACTGCTTCTGGATGAATGAAATAGTTTCTGCATTGAGTTGTTCGAGGACGAAGAACAATTAAGTTTTGGTGTATTTGATGGGACAAAATTTTGTTTCCATCTGCTTCGTTTTTCAGTGCGAAACAATAGTCGTTACACCCTTTTTAGTTTGTTTTAGTTATAAATTTAGTTTAAATGCAATAAAAGTTAGTTCGTGTTAAGGAACGACTTCCAGCATGGAATATTGAAAGAAGAAAGAGATAAAAGAGTGATAAGATATCCCTTACTTTTGCTTTTTAATTCCACTCAAATTTGCTTTTTGCTTTTCTGCAAAGTATGGTTGCAAAGCGTACCAAAAAGGACAAATCTTTTTCTCTAAATTTTTTCCTATAAACTGTGGTCATGTTTGTTTGTGTGCTGAAACTAAACTTTCTTATTTTCTCTGTCACTTTTTCTCATTCTCAAAATGAAAGCTAGAATGAGGTGATGTTCAAGTTTGGTCTAGTCTATGGTGACAACTAGCCCAATTTGCAGCCTTATGAGATCACTATAATTCTCATATCTTTTCTTTGCAAAATACCAAAATACTCGTGCTTTGAGTTTAACTGGTATTAATAATTAATCTATAAGCATATTTCACAAGAATCATATTTTCTAGGGATAAAATTATTTCTTGAAATATTTAGTGAACTAAAAAATATTTAATAGAGAAAATACATTTTTAGTAAATTTTTGGAAAATATTTTCAACTCAACATATTTTTTCAATTTTTTTTCTACCAATAGAAACTTAAATTAATAATTATATGAGAGCTTCACAAAAATTAAGGACCAAATCTTGAAAGCATGATACTAAAAATACATGCGTAAAGTTTAGATTTGTGATGTGAGTTATGTGTGTGACCGTGCGTGCGTGCGATTTCATGAAAAAAGTATAGAGTTTATATTAAGTGGGTGCTGAATGTTTTTTTTTTTTTTTATAGAAACTTTACAAAAAAATGTAGAATTTAAAAAGAAAGTTAAAATAATACTTATTTTAGAAGTCAAGATTCCTTATTCATGAAAAAGAAGAAGCAAAAACTCAAAATAATATTTTAAAAATTCAATTTTATCTCAAATCCACTCTAACTACTGCATCCCACCCACAATCACGATTATCATCACATATCTTTTTTAATAATTTTATATATGAGAAGTTCTTATTAATTTTAACATCTAAATAGTTTTTTTTTTATTTTGTAATTAATTTTTATGTATTTTTTAACTTTTAAAAATAAAAATCATTCTGAAAAACACAAATCATAACTTTTTTTTTTTTTTAAGTCTATCCAAACGGTCTATATGTTATATAAGATATTGGGTTGGGGGTTATCGAGGAACAAACTTCGACTCCAACCTCGCGGCATTAATTTCATCATGCTTTATGCATCCTCTCGGTTGTTAAAAGTGGCAAGTATTGGGCCTAATAGCCCAAACAACTGGGCATCCCATGACTGTTAATGTTTCTGACATCTTGGCCCAAAAACAAGTTGCCCCAAAAACTAATAAACGAGAAACAAAAACCGAAAATGGTAATCAATTAATAACACTAGCAGGTTTCTCAACTTTCCTTTCATGTTCTGTTCCTACTGTGTGCATATAGAGCCAGTACTAAAATCCCATGTTGTCTTTTCATGTTCATTTTTTAAGTTTAGAATCTTTTCACGTTTGGTAAAGATTTAAAGTTGGGATCTGCTATACCCCAGGTTCTTGAATTGTGAAATTTGGTTTCTTTCGCTTTTGGGGGCTTTTTCCTATTCTTTTAATTGTGCTATCTATGTATTATTAATTTTCATATTAGATTTTGAAATCTGATACTGCAGCTATTGTTGCACTGTTTTGAGTATTTTCTGTTCCCATCCTCAATAACTTTTCACATTTAGCTCTCATCCTCTTCTTGTTTTGTGAAATTCTTGATCATTTCTCATCCTTAATAAAAAGGTTGAACATTTAATTGGGATTAATCTTTTATGGGATTCCTCTTCTGAGTGGTTTGCTTTACGTTGCACAGTGTTTTCCCACCATTTTTCTGCTTCCTCTTAGACTGAGTTTCTCTTATCTCTGAAGAAGAAATGGCTGCCAATTTCTGGACATCATCTCACTAGTATGTTTCATCTTTGTAATTCCCTCATCATCTATCTGTGGCACTTGTGTGTGCATCTGTTTTTTAATTTGGGTTTCATGGGGTTATGATCCTTGCAGCAAGCACCTTCTGGATCAAGAAGATGTGGATATGGTGAATCCACTTGACAAAGAAAAGGGTGTCACACTTGAGGATTTTAAGCTCATTAAGATGCACATGGCTAATTGTATGCTCTCTTTTATGTGTCTCTCCCATACTTGTATTTGTGCACCTTATGGCACTGCTTTGCTCTTTAAGTCCTTTCTTTTGGTTTTTACTTGTTACTATCATCTTTTACTTGTGAATATGGTGTTTAATACTGAATCTTTAATTGCTACTGACTGCCTTATTTTTGTGTCCAAGGGATTGATTTCAAAGTGAATTTTTTTTACTGATCAATTATTGCTCTTAGTTAGGTCTTATGTTTTTATTGATTTTCTTTGCTTATTCTTGTGTTTAGTTATTCAAAAGGTGTTGGTAAAAAGTCAATCATTAGTGCTGTTGCTATTGACATCCTTCATTTGCCGTAGAAGTGCTGATTCTTACTATTTGGCTTTACTGAATTCCTGCTTTTTCTTTTCTTGCTTGTGCAGATATTTTGAAATTGGCTCAACAAGTAAAAGTGAGGCAGAGGTGTGAACTATGTTTCTTGAATATGCATAACTCTTTCCCTTTGCGTTTATAATCTATTACATTTTAATGTGGGGATTTAAATGAAAAGCACATTGAATTACTGGAGAAAATTTTATATATTGGTTTGATTTTGCTTGCGTTGCATGAAGAAAAAAGAACTGATGCCCTTTAAGACAAAAAATATATGAAGAGAAGTACACGAATCATGTTGGCTTTTTTCCCTGCCTTTTACAGCATGCTTTGATTCTTTTAGGACTTTAATATACCTCACCCTTAAAATTTATCCTATTGACATATTTCTCATAAATTCCAATATCAGGAAATTTAATTTATTTATGAAATGTAAATACCTGTCTGACACATTTAATGTTTGACTGCATTTTGATTCTCCAATAAGCAAGATGTGACCTTATAGCCTGTATGACATGGGTTGTACTTTAATTGTTGGATTTCTTTTTTAAAGTTGTGTTACTCAGACTCTTAATAATATTTATTTGAAGTTGGTTTGTTTATGTAACATTGGGATATTATATCTATGCTGATCTACGAAATACATGTGGAATTTCTTAAGTCTCTGATGACTATGTTTGATCAATTTTAGATGGGATGGATTAGATTTTAAATGATGATAGTTCAAATTTGAAAAGGAGCTATAACACCCATATTCACATAACTGACATAAGTAATTATGCTGGAGGAACTTAACAAATCCTTACCTTTCCCCATAGATGAATTTAGATGAATGTGTAAAAGCATTATACAAGGAGTCAAGTAACCCTTCAGTGGTACTTCTTATGTATCTCAATGGATTTTCAAAGAGTTAATTTTTTTTCTAAATTTTTCTGGTCTAAAAATGGAAAAAAAAATTCCATCATCTTGTCAAAGGTTTAATAACATCTTTTGCCTATTCGTGTCATGACATTCTCTGACATGTTGGTCAATATTTCAGGGTTGTTGCCACTGCAGTTACATACATGAGGCGTGTTTACACCAGGTATATGTCATGAACTTGTAAGTCTGGTGGAGGGAAGAAGTTACTCCTGAAATGATTGCAACTTCCTGTCTTATTTTTAGATGGAGGATAGCTTGTAGGATAGCTTGTATTTTCTCCATTATTTATGAAGTTTGGAGTCAATAATGCAAGTTTACAACAGTGTAATTCATAATTGTTTTTCTTTTGATGTCAGGGTTTATAATAGAAGCTATTACAAACCAAGAAATGGGTTCTAAGTTTTCAGAGGGAGGGAGAGAAATGAGAAAAACAGACAGAGGAAAGGAAGAAGAATACTTTAGTAGCATTTATTGAATTACATACTAAAAACCTAAGGAGAGAATTCTCCTTCCAAGGGTTTCCCCTCTCCAAAAAGTTGCTTCTTTCATGACAGAGCCTTTGCTCAGTTCTCAAATCTGAATTCCTGTAAGCCTATATCACCTTGCCCTTCCTATTTAAGCCTGAACCCCTGTGCCAAGTTATCTATCCCCTTTGTATATTCTAACTTTAACTAACTAAATAGATATTGAACAGTCTAACTAACTCCGACTCTGTTCTAATTTATTCTTCAGGGTCCTATCAAAAGCAGTCTCTTTTTTTTTGTTTCATTAAAGCCAATGTTCATATTAGCGCTACCATTGAAGTTAATGTTGTGCATTTGTATTAGAATAACCAAAAACTCTGCCCCATAAGTCATAGTAAGAAATTTGTTGAGGTTTTGGGTTAGAGCCAATTATATTTCTTGATTCTATAGAAATGACAGAAGAATTCATGGATATGCACAATCATGTGGCTTTTTTTACTGTGTAATAATGAGCAGACAATTGCTGCTTATACCATATTTGAAATAGGAGTAGTAATCAACAATCATTGGTTCAAGTGGCAAGGAACTTGTTTCCTTTAAACTGAGATCTCGAGTTCAAGTCCTAGGAATGGAGAAAATGGTATTGTGAGAGCTGAATCGTATTGGATACCCAAAAAGAAAGAAAGAAATAGGAATAGTAACAAGTTTAATAATATGAAATTGATATTCATTTGATGTGAAGGATGTGATAAAAGGAAAAATATTAATCCCTATTATACTTGGACTAGACTCTGAATCCTAATTAAATAAGGAAACAAATAATAAAATATGGACCAATCCTTAAAGATCACTTAAGATACTCTAAAATATTAGATATTTTTTGTATATGCTAATGCTCCTTCTCGAGCTAACGCTTACTAATCTTTAAGCTTATTACAAATTGAATACTTTAAAAAAATAAAATATAACCTGGAATGGAGACAGGCCAGACTGCATTTGGGACTGAAATGGGGCCAGAATGTTTGGGACTGAAACGGGGCCAGAATGTTTGGGACAAGAACACAAACACATGCATTTGGGACAAAAACACGACACTTGCATATGGGATAGAGACATGGCCAATATATGGGACTCGAGATGGCTAGACTGCATTTGGGACTATGATCAGGGCTAGACCAAGTCTATAATAAACAGAGGCCAGACCATGTCTGGGACAAACAAGGGCTAGACTGTGTTTGGGACAAAGTTTGGGGCCAAACCATCACATCTGGGACAAAGGCTGGGGTTAGACACCTTGGAACTTTTCCCCCCTCTATGATATGGTATCATTGGAAAAGAGCCAAACTCAGCTGATAACACTATCAGATGAATTTTTGTGCACCTGATTTAGAGTGTTGATTTAGAGGAATTAATCGTTCTTGAAGCCATTTTTGGCTAAATAAGAGGCTGGGTGAATCAGAAGAACTTATAGTTTTAGCAGCTGTTGTCATTGTTGACTATAACTATTTTTTCTATAAAAGTTGAATTTATGTGCTTGTCTTTTGTGGATGTCCAGATTTATAATACTATCTGTGTCTGACCCTGAAAATAATTTGTGCCTAATACCTTGTATTAACAAGTATCATCTCATAACTATCTTCATTTTTTTCCTTCAAGGAAGAGTATGACAGAATATGATCCACGCCTGGTAGCTCCAACCTGTTTGTACCTGGCATCAAAAGCAGAAGAAAGCACAGTGCAGGCTCGGCTGCTTGTATTTTACATTAAAAAATTATGTAAGCTGTTAGTTAGTTAGCTAGTTAGCTTATAAGCATGTCTAATTTTGCTTCATGTTGACTTCTGATTTTGAAGTGAATTATTTGTTTTCAAAGTTGTCTCTTGCCATTATATTTCCTTTTTGTGCTGAAAACACATCAATTTTGTATGCAGATTCTGATGATAAGTATAGGTATGAAATCAAGGACATACTTGAAATGGAAATGAAGGTTTTAGAAGCACTTAACTATTACCTTGTTGTATTTCACCCCTACCGTTCACTATCGCAGTAAGTGATAAGATTGGTTGTTCATTTTGTGCACACACCCCTTCCAATTAGGACAAAATGCACAAATGCCCCTTTACTTTGGCCTTTTTGGACATACAGTCTCTATGTTCTGTTTCAGTCACATTCTATTTAATTTAGTAATGAAATGAATAATTAAATGAGTAGGCCGGGGGTTTAGTCTATTATCCACATTGATAGCAAAATAAAGTGTCTTTTGAGCCATACAGAAGATATTCAACTGTAAATCAATTCAGTTGTTATAATTCTTTTAAAAAGAAATTTTAGAATTGCTATATTTTAGAAGTATCTTGGAATGGTGTGTTGATGACTAGGTATGTTACTTAGGTTGGATAGCATGTGGGTATCACAATTTGTTTGTGTTATATAATTTCTGCCATCAATTTGTAGAAAAAAAAAAAATAGATCAAGCATATGTACTATTCAATAACAGATTGTGTAATTAAAACAATTGAAACTAGAGGGGGCGCATTTGCAAAAGGCCAGAATTATTAGGGAATTTATGCATTGCATCCTTATTTTTATGTATCTTAATTCAACGTTGTGCTTCATCTTTCAAAAGTTGAAGTTCAAAAAATGATTTGATATTACTTCACCTATGTTATTTACCTCGTCTTGTCCAAAATCAAAAATAGAAGAAAAGAACTGCAAAGAGGTTCCTGGTTCCATTTCGTTATCATTGTGATTATGCTGGCTCAATTAATGCTTGCTCGGTGTTTGCGAAGATCTTTATGAGTTATTGAACACCGAGGAGACCAATACATGATATTTAACTGGAAATGCTTGAGAAAGATAAGTACCTAGAAAAAGATAGAGAGTACAGTTAAAGGATTCTGTATTGACTGATCTTGATAACCTGCACAACTAGGGGATTTTGAAAGTCTTGCTAGTCTAAGGTGATGATCTGGTTGAGACAAAAGGGGTTTTGGACTAAGTTGGCAGCTTTGAGTGTATGACCTTGATGGGAACATTTGGGTGGAGGGGGGCTGTATGATTGTATGAACATAAATGAGGGAAGTTTTGTCGTAGGATGAAGAGATTCAGAATTTGCTCTTTTGATTATTTTGGCAAACGGCCTGGGCTCCCTTCGAAGGGTGCTACGGGAAGGCTCCTGTCACAAGCTGTCACTGTATGAGGTCTTCTTTGTTTCTTTGAGATATTGGCAGTATTATTTAGAGATATATTGTCCTATAATGCGTATTCCTAGTTATCACCTTTTCTTTAGAGTTTACGTGACTTTTTCATTGAAATCTGATGACTTCCCTAACCGTAATAGTTTGTTCTCAATCTCATCTATTCTTTACTAAAAAATATTCACTCCAAAACACTGGGCTAGGTTGTTATGCATATAATTTTAAACTTCAGACCTTTTTGTTAAGTTCAGCCTTCATTTTCTGTTTCAACCAGTCCTTCATATTCTTTTGGCACTGAATTCCTTATCCATGCTAAATGCACACCTACCACTGGTAAACTTCTTTACAATCCTCTTTATTAAATATTTATTAGAGAAATGGGGCCGACCTAGATCGAACTCTAGAACACTTAGTCACAGATGATTTGATACCATATCATGTAACCAACTCTCCCAAAAACTTAAGCTCTTAGGTGAATGTAGATGAATGGTTTTATATGTTATTTATATTTCTAACAATATATTTGAGGAGTATGAAGTACTAGTAGTATCTGTTTTGACATTGTCTGGTAGCTTGGGAATCTGGTTTATTTTCTATTGGTGGTGGGATGTGGAATTTTCCTGCATTCTTATTTCTTAAACACCTTTTGTTTTTGTTGTGATATATAAGGCCATTAATGTAGCCTCACCTACTAGCTTAAGCTTTTGGGTTGAATTGGTTCTTTACATGGTATCAGAGCCTCGGTATACCGGGTTCGATCCTCACCGCCCCCACTTTCTTTCTAGTGGAATTTCTTTCTTCGCACAGGTAGGTCGGCCTGTGCATTATCCACCCTTCAAGCCCAGTAGCTCTCGTGTGAGGGGGCGTGTTGAGATATATAAAGCCATTAATGTAGCCTCACTCAATAGTTTAAGCTTTTGGGTTGAATTGGTTCTTTACAGTTTTGATGATGTGCTTTAGGTTTTAGGCTGGAAGAAGAAAGCAAATTTTCTTTCTGACGTGTGACGTTTTCTACACATTTTTGTATATGGATAAAGGGAATGCTAAATTTTTTAAAATAATTTTATGGTTAGGGGGAATAGCCTCTTTGCAAATATGCAAGAGTAAGGCTATGTATAAGTATTGCCTTCCCCTCTTATCCTCGCTAGTTGGAGTTTTATGGGGAAGAGTTTAATTTTGCAGTCCGTTTTTGGATGTAGGATAAGATATTCCATTCACCTTCTCTGTAGTTTCCAGCTTTTCTTTCATTTTTATTCTTTTTTTTCTTCTTTTTTCTGTGGCTGAGTCGTAATCCTCCTTATCTCTTCATTTTCGTATAAAGAATGGAGGGGAAAAAAAATACTTGTTGCACTAATATACATGGGAAATCTTTACTAATTCATGAGGAGCCTCACATAAATGGAAATAACTTTCAGCCACCTCTGACCTCCTCCCACCACAATTGATGTGGGCCCTTTTGCCTCAAACTTCTGATAAGTACCATTAAGCTAAGATGCTATTGCCACGACACTAATCTAGAAACACATTGAGTCATGAGTTAGCTCTAGAAGTGCATCTGCCTGATGTTGTAGATAAAACATAAAAAGTTTTAATCATCCAACTTGGTATGCAAATTTCCTGATCCCTGGCCTTCACATAGATTTGGACCATAGCTAATTTCAGTAGCTATTTGGTTTCACTAGCCCTTCTGGTGCACAGAGTGACTGGTTTTTAATTCTTGTAACCTTTTTATATTAGTTTTTACAAATTCTTTTCCTTGGTACCTTGTTGCTATTGGTTGCGACATCAAAATTGACTTCAGACGAACTCTTTTAAGTTAGAATTCCAGTTTGTGTTGTACTTCTTAGTTTTAGAGTTGCAATGTGTTATATCTCATTCAAATTTAATGTTCATGAAAGATAAGATGCAACAAATGCTCTACATTTATGGTAAAAAAAATCCCATTTGGATCATTAGTGTGATATGCATCTCTTCAACTATAGTACCCCTAGATTTTAATTTCTTGTATTTGTTATCTTATTATTTAACCACATCTGATACTATATCCTTCGTGATATCAATTTCAATATCCAAATATATCTTATTCTTCATCACCAAATTTCTTGTCTACCTTTTTATTGTACTTTGAATTCTCTTAACTAAATGCTTGGTGTTCGGAGCAGGAGTGTTGAAATGCCCAAGTATTCGGAGTTCATTTGTTTTTCAGTTTTCACATTTCCAAATTTCTGCAAGTCAAACAATACTTGGCATCAAATGAAATATTGTTGATGGGAGAACTGGTCCTATGTACTCGCCATTAAGAATATATTCATTTATAATTTCTCACATTATACTGATAATTCACCAGGTTGCTTCAAGATGCAGGTCTGAATGATCTAAGCATGACTCAACTAACTTGGTAAGAGTCCAGTCCTTCCTGCTGAACAGATGAGAGCAGTTTTTAAATCGGTTTTCCTTTTTAGTTCTCCTTATTTTACAATTCCCCTTTTATCTCTCTATATTAAATGCTTTCTTAAGTCGTTGCTCTGCATTTTACCATTTGACCGTACATAATTTCAAATGACGAAAATGCCTAAGACCCTAGCATTAGAATTTTCCCTGAGTGGAACAAATTAATGAAAAAAACTAGCTTTTAGTTGAAGGATCAGGAACCAACACCAGCATCTTTGCACTTCTTTCTTGTAATGAATTGTTTTCTTTAAAGGAAAAGAGAAAAAAAAACTGTATAAGTTGTCATGTTTGTCTGGGTTTTGTAAACTAGTAAGCTGGTAGGTGACACTCTCTTGTACCTGCCCTCATTGAATGTTTTAAGAACAAGATCTTCGGTGTATCTCAGATGGTTAGCAAGTCTCCTAATTCCTTTATACTTAGGCATTACCCTTTTAACATATGCCAAGTTAGTGCTTCATGTTGATCTTGCTGATACTCTAAGCTATTTTAAGATATAATATTTTGAGATATTTCTAGATATTCTAACATTTGACAATGGGCACTAGAATTTGGGATCAAATCTCACCTTCACTAACCAGTGCAGGTTTCTAGGGAAGGAAGAGATTTATCTTGTTTTGTAACCTGTGCTAATGGACTCCCCATAAAAAGTAGACGGTGCTGCGTCAATGCTTAGATTAATTACTAGTTTATCTTTTAATGCATAAGGTTGCTGTAACAATGATAATGGATGATGGTTCATTGTCATGTCTTATTATGGAAGACTTAACTGTTTCATTATATGGAGCTTAAAATCATTGTCATAAAAAATTGTGGAAAATTTTCAAACTTTTATGTTGTTGCTGTCCAAGTGTCTCCTCCCGTTTGCTTTTAAATGTGAGGTAGATTCTTTAATAAAATTGCTTTGGTGCAGTAGATAGCTGAACCTCTGTATCCAGAAACATCATTTTGTTGCTTCACTATGAAGCCTGATTTGCTGTTGTGCTAACAGCCGTCTTGCCAATGCTTTGGCATTGCAACTTCTATTTATTATTAGTTTTTTTTATTTAAATTTACAAAAACATAAACATGAATGTTCATGCTTGCAGGGGGCTTGTAAATGACACATACAAGATGGACCTAATTCTTGTGCATCCTCCACATCTGATTGCTTTAGCTTGCATATACATTGCTAGTGTGCTCAGAGATAAAGACACCACTGTCTGGTTCGAAGAACTTCGTGTTGATATGAACGTGGTGAGTATTCCAGTGTATTTCTAAGCACTTGTTGCATCTTTTATCTTTACTTATCTGTCTTAAGTCTTAACCTGTCTCTTTATCTTTCATTTTTTGTTTTCTTTTTTCAAAATTTCTTGATAAATTGGATAATGGCCATAAGTTGCAATCTAAAAGTTGAATGGTGATAGTCTGCTGTGAAACTAGACAGGACTAATTGCACAAAATCATAAAATGAGAGAAATTGAACGGATTCGAATTTACATGGTTCAGCTTTTGCCTACTTCCACAGGCGAAGATGGTAAACAAGTTGACTAATTGAAACAATGAAGAATACACTAGTGGTTTATTTCCATTGTCGATGCCCCCCAACAAAAAAGTGGCTTAGTTCCATCTCAAACCCACCTATGAAGCACACCAAATTGTCCCCCATGATTATATCCCATAATTGTGGGATCACAGAATAATTTATCCAGTAGCACAGCTGCACTATACTAAAAAAAGAAGCACTCAAATATTTTACCCAAAACTCCTCTACAATACCTTTCTCACTCTCTAAGGACCAAGCTAAATGAGATCTGATGCAAGGGATGATGCGCTGAGAATGTCTTGCAAAGTTACATGAATAGGCTTTATAGTTGCCGTCCCTTCTTGAAGCCATTGGCTTGTCCAAAAGCCAAGTAGTCCCATATTGTTTAACCTTTACAATGATTAAGAGATTAGAATCTAAAACTTGATCTCCATGCAGCCAATAAATTGGCCAATAACCTTCTCATGGTGACCACAAGTCCCTTCCAATGCTTAACCATTCCTTTGGACGAGAGGCAGTCAAGACAAGAGGGTTCATATTCGACAGTGCAAAACATATTTTAAATAGACAAACCAATAAATGATTTTTATATTCGAAACCCATTAAAAAAGAAGGGACAATCTAGGAGAAAAAAGTGATATAATTATATATATATATATATATATAATATGATATGAATAATATAATATATATGATATGAAGGTCCCATTCCTGAAAATGCTATGAGGTGTTTGGAAATGGTTGAAGTATTTGATTTGAATAGCTTGAAACCCCATACGTTCATTTGCATAAAAGATCACTGTACTGTACTAGGACAGCAACGCAGTTCCAATGTCTTGTTTCATGAACTCATCATTATAGATATCAACTATCTACTAAGTATGAGCTGAAAAACATTTTGGTATTTGTGAACCATGTGTGCTTTGGCCCAACAACTTAAAAGTATTTTGTTATACTTCATGTAAGCTCTGTCATCAAATGATTTGATGTATACTTGTATAGTATTGCTGGAAAACAGAAGGATGTAAAGACATGGTCAAGATAAACAAGAATTTGGGTGGGTCAGTGTTAGGAAGCCTTTATACTGCATGTGTACAAAAGGAGCCATAACAGGGGATCACTTCCCTAATTTGGTGTAGGCTGTGTTACTGGAATTTTTGGAGGGAAAAGATGTTAGCAGTTACAACAGTTTTTGGGGGTGTGTGGGTTTAAGTAAGGAAAAGGGTAGTGAGAAGATTACCCGGAAAATTGTAGAGAGAAGTTGGGAGAGACTAGAGCCTCTCGATTTGCTTTAGGCTATCTGTAATTTTCGTTTTCTGTCTTTGTTCTAATGCTGTAAGTCTATATACACAATCTGATATCAGATTTGCAGTTCATGTACAGTTCTCCTTCAGTTTTCCGATTTCTCCTGTTCGATTCCTAACAGTCTTTCTTTTTTTTCTTTTTTTTTCTTTTTTTTAGGGGTCAGGAGTTGTTGAGGGTAGTTTGGTCAACAATGTGCAGGGCAATTTCTGTTGCTTAGGATCATATAATAATAGAATGCGTTGGACTATTAGTTGATTGGCTGGCTGTTCGTTAATTATTCATAGTAGAATGGTTGAACTTATTGTATTGGGTGGCATCTTTCTCTTATGGACTATCCTGCTCCACTTGAATATTGATATGAGAATTTGCTGTGAGATTATCTTGAAACTCAGTTTTCTGCGTGTATGCCTTATGACTGAGCAGTGGCTAAAGTAGTTTGTAGTTTGCACTGTTCTGTATGTTATTCCAACTAAGTTAGTACAACTATGTAAGATGCTGTTTGTGATGATAGAGGTCCAAAATGCATTAGTGACTTGTGTTGTGCGGTTCCACCAGGTTATAATCACTTTATTGCAAATGTCCTTAATATGATACACCGGAGTACTACTTTTTGTGTGTTGAAGAGAAATTAATTCTCTGGTAATTTTTTTTCTTTTTGTTTTGGCAGGTTAAGAACATATCAATGGAGATACTTGATTTTTATGAGAGTAATAGAATGTTTACTGATGAGAGATTCAACGCTGCTCTCCAGAAGCTATCCTTGAGGCCCTAAAAGCTTCTTGCAGAGATACTTCCTTTGAGACGAGCCAGCAACTTCCATTCCTAGGAAGTACTTGAGTTGTCCCAAGTCTTTTTAACTTCAAATTCTTTTGCTAGAAATTTCTCAAGGTGTTCAATCTCTTCATGGTCATCACACTTGATGATGATATTATCTACAAATACTATGAACAAGGCGGACATATCTCTTCTGAAGAATTTATTTGACATTATATAAATCCATTTTTCTCGACAGCCCGAGTCAATTTATCATTCCATGCTGGTGTTAATTGCTTGAGACCATATAGGAATTTGAGGAGTCTGGATAATTTGCTAAAAGTTTTTTATGCTTTGAATTTGAGAGGAATTTGCATATAAACATCCTCTTTTAATTCCCATCAAGAATGACACTGTTAACCTCTAGTTGATGTAGAGGCTAGTCTAGATTTTCAGCAAGGGATAGGATAGCCCAGACTGAAGTAAGTTTCATCTGAAGCATATGTTTCTTCGTAATCAACGTCATGAGATTGGGTAAATCCTTTTGCTACTAACTCAGCTTTGTCCTTATTCATGCTCCCACCAATATTGAATTTGATTGAGAAATCCACTTGCATTGAACTGATTTCTTTCCTTTGGCAACATTGATAGTTTCCAAGTGCCATTCTTTTCTAGGGCATGAATTTTCTCGTTGTTGAAGTACCTCTTGTAAACCCTTTATTATTTGAATGTTGTTAAGAGAATTGACTAAAGTTTTGTATCCTTGTGACAAATTCTCATAAGACACGTGATTTCCAATGGGATGTTAGTACAATACGTCACTCATTTCCTTATAGGAATGGGCATATCAAGACTAAGAAATTAAGTACTGGGAATATGAAGTTTTGGGTTCGGAGTTGTGTTACCAGGATGAATTATCGGGAGTTCTAAAACCTAGTTAGATTCCTTACTTTGATTCAGATTTGTGTAGGATTCTGGTTCCATTTGAGTTTTCAACCTCTTCGAGTAAACCAATAGAGGTTTGTCCGCTTATGCGGTGGGAAGATGAGTGGGAAGATGAGTTGATTCAACCCCTAATGTTTCTAGTGCAGTTTCGGTTGGTGGATAGAAGGGTTGGAAATGTGTGTTTGTAGTGGTTTCAATTGTTGGAACAATCTCGTTCTCTGTTTCTCCAATTTCCTAAAGTTCGGACTCATCCTCAGTTGTAAGGGTGTTGAATATTCAATGACAATAGAGTCACCGTGTCATGGAACAAACTCTTGATTTCAAAGATGGTAAAGGAGTTATCCACATTTTAGTAACTCTCCTTTGTTACGTCATAGATTCTTTAGCAGTGTTGTAGTACGTGAGATCCATTTTTATCTTGTTAGTCACTGCGTTTAGTAGTTGAATTTTTGTGGATTTAGAACCAAACATGTATTCCTCAAGGGGTATAATATGTCAATATGGAGGTGCTCAAAGAAGTAGTGGTATAGACTCGTGCTCAAGGAGAATCACCAATGGTGCAATGCAGAAATGGCCACAATGGGAGATGATGTATTTCGGCTAAGGTGGCTTTAAATCTCAGCAGAATAATAGCTCATAAAGTGTGAGAAATCAGGTGTCTCTTCAATGGGAGAAAATGAGTTTATATTATACAGGGAAGTGAATATCCCCTAAGGATGAAAGAGTGGGAAAAGTTGAGCCAAAATCGTTAGCCTCGTCTTCACTATTGCATGTAAAGAAAAGATTGCTAATGTAGAAGCACAAGAGAAGGCGCGCGCGCCGGGGGGGGGGGGGGGGGGGGGGTTTGGGTGTTGAATTGTATAGTAACTTGTTTCACAAAAAATCAATGAAAATTAACCCATTTATCTAGAAAATCAACCAAAACGAAATAGAACAAAATTTAAACCTCTCTTATGGAAAAACTGAATTAATACATACCAAATGTCGTCTAATAATAGAGATTATGCAGTGGTATTGAAAATGATGATGGGAAAGGAAGAATCACATCAAGATTTATCCTGATTCACTCTCTAACCACTTGAGAGCTACGTCCAAACTGGTGTCGTCGATTCCACTATGTTCTAGCTTCCAACCGGTGCCAGAAAAATCGTTTTACAAGAACTATGATCAAACCTTTGATCATTCTCAACCTATCACCTATACGATCTCTCAAATCATTCAAGAACTATTTACAACAGTCCAATTCGTTCAAACAACAATGGAGCAATCTCTCCTTGTTTAACGTAAAAAAGAATCTCAGAAAAAGATTAAGAAATGAAAGAGATATAGAGCATTTCCTCTAATATGTCAAAATATGGCCAATATGGTGAATGATCTCTCAATTTTGAATTCTGATGAGTTTCTATGTTCTCTCATTTTTGTAAACCTTCATTGATCATTTATATAGGTGTAAGAAAATATAAGATACCCAAATATTGCTGTTACACCTTCAGATTTTAAGTAATTCAGATGACAATGCCAATATCCGGATATTTATCGGGCTGATATTCAGATATTCTAGGTTCCAATATCCGGATATTCACATATCCATATCCTGGTATTTGTAGACAGCAACCAGTTTTTTGACCTATATGAATTCTGAGTGATTTTCTACTCACTTCTCACATATGTATGTATGCTTCTAGCATTAATATAACAGTGCTTCATGTATAAGTGTATCATGTATGTAGGGTTTACTTTATGCATGAGTTTATGGCTTCTATAATGCATATTTGAGAATAAGTTCTGTAAACTCAAACATCTAAACTCTTTAGACTCTATAATATAGCACCGAGTCTTCATGTTTCTTCATTTGTCTTCATGTTTTGAATCTTCTATCTTTGTTTGACCTGAATCTTTGACATTAAAGTTGAGTTTATACTTTGAAGTTAGTACTCCATTTTTGCATATTTATTTAGTTTTCTTACTTTACTTGGGACTTATTGCACTGCCTTCTATGTTGTGCAAGCTTGTTGAGCTAGTTGATGCTTTATTGATCGTCAAAACTTCACATCTTGGTCTTGTTTGACCTATGGTTCAACATTGCAGTGTGGAGTTTGCTCTCATTGTGGATGTATGATGGTGAGCTATGTAGGGAGAAGAGATTCTCTGTGTTGAAGCTCTATAACAATGTTTTAAAATCGCCTGGACCCCTAGGTCAACCCTGACCCCCCTCTCTCTGAGGGTTGAGGTCAGCAGTTAGATCTTGCATGCACGTTGACACCTCTGACCCTCGAAACCCGGTCGGGTCTCGGTTACTCCTGTTTAGAGGGGGTCACTGCATTTAAAAAAAATCACACGAAAGGATGTCATTTTGTGAAAAAAAAATCCCTGCTAACCTAAATCTGAAATCCGAAAGTGAAGAACAAAATCAAATCTCTCTTCTCTCCCAGACGTCTTCACCTCGGTGGTTCCTCCTCCTTTCTTTCGCTCCGCCGTGGTGGTTCTTCATCCCTTCTTCCGCGACTCCGCCTCTTCGGTCTTCCCTCTCCTTCACGTCGTCGCCTCTACTCCGCTGTGGGGGTTCTTCTCTTCACTAATCCACTTTTTTTCTTGGTTGGTTTCTTTGCTCTGAGCATGTATGATATTATTGTATTACTAAGCAATATGGTTTAAAGCTTTTTTTAACCCTGATGTATTTACTCTCATATTAAGAAGACGGCAGATAAAAAATGATGTAAACTAACACTTTTAAATTGTATCGTAACATAGAGAATTGGGAAATTGAATTGGATGAAATGCCATTGCTCATGGAAGTGCCTTGTTTGTTTTCATTGATTTGCTGGTTGCATCTGTTGCTTGTTTTAAATGTATTTTTCATCTCATATAGCCATGGTACCCCGAAATAGAAGCAACGTTCCTCAAGGTTTAGACGGCAATGGTGGAGAGGGATAAGGAGAGCTTGAGTTTGATGATATAACTTTTCATTAACTCCATTGAAATATGTGTTTTATACTTTGATATTTTGATTAGCTTGTATAATATTGACTTGTGGATGTAATTGTTTGAATTATGCTAAGTATATTTTGAATTTTTTATGATTGATGGTTTGATTTTTTTGAATTTTTCATAAAAAAATAACCACTCCCCGTTAAACCCGACTAGAGAGTGTGAGGTGGAGAAAATCCTCGTACGCAGCCTTACCCTTGCATAACTGCAAAAACGTTGTTTCTTGGATTCAAACTTATGACCTTTCAGTCATGAAAGAATATTTTTTTGAATTTTTCATATAAGATATATATTTATATTTTTTTAATATATAAAATCGGGTCAACGACGTGACCATGTGACCCCCAGATTGAATTTGTGACCCTTTACCTAGGCAAGTCGATGGACAGACTAAGTTTTTAAACACCGTTTTATACCATAAGGTGTCATCTAGAATGTTCTTGTGTTGAACATTTAGTATTGTACCCAACTTATTGGGCCTGTGGAGGTCAGCCAGAATAGTAGCCATGACATCTCCAGGTTGTTCTTGAATCCCCATTTGAGGTGGTTGGGATCATCTTTCTATGTTGTATAACATCATCAATGAAATTAGGATACAGATTGTACTATCAAGGCCTAAAAATAGGAGTTATTACCTTCTACACCTAACTATACTAAACAAAATCTTATGATGAAAATCAACCTTAAAATCACGAACTTGTTTGTTAAAAAAATTTAGGTTATTTATCCTAAAAAACAATTTGAAAATCAGGAATTTGTTTCTTAAGAGTGGCTTGGAAATCAAACTGTTTGATATGGGGCAGGTTCTTTTTACACTAGTGTAAGACTTGTTAGTCTTACACCACATCTCAACCGTTGATAGACGAAAATTATCAGTTGGTATTTGTAGTGTAATTAATGATTAATTAATTAGTATAACTTCCTAAATTATAACCGTTGGATGCACGAAAATCAACTATTGATATGTGGTGTAAGACTAATTAATATTATACCGATGTAAAATAATCCTGATCCTACACACACAGATATATATATATATATATATATATATATATATATATATATATATATATATATATATATATATGAAGTAGGATTCTTTGACACCAAATTTAAAGTTTGACACTTTATCTGAGAGCCGTTAGATAAAAAAAGATCAATAGTGTCACATGCTTACAAATCAAAGTCATTGATCTTTTTTGATCTAATGACTCTCAAATGAGGTGTCAAATTTTAAATTTGATACTGGTGTTAAAAGATACTATGGGGTAGGATCTTTTGACACTAGTGTCAAACATTAAAATTTGACACCAAATCATAACCGTTGATTTTCGTCAATCAACAGTTATTATTTTTGCCAATCAAATTTATTAATTACTCATTAATTTTAAATAAATAATAATCATTGATTGACAAAAATCAAAAGTTAGGATTTAGAAGCTTGACACTAAATCCTAACCGTTAGTTTCTGCTAATCTGACGGTTATAGTTTATTAAGTCAAGCTTATTAATTAATTAGTAATTTCCAATAAATTATAACTGTCGTTTGACGAAAATCAAAAGTTAGAATTTTAGTGTCAAACTTCTAAGTTTGACACTGGTATTAAAATATCATATCCTATATATATATATATATATATATATAAGAAAATTATTTCTCAAGATACTTGAGATATATTTATCTCCGATCACCCCAAAATTACGTTGTGTTGTTTATTTATTTTCTTATATTAATTGATTTACCATTAAATGGTTATAATTTTCTTTTTCTCTCTATTTCTTTATCACAATCGGTCTATCTTTGTACGGTTATGATTTAATGACCGAAGATAAAGTTATCTCAAATAACTTGAGAAAATATATATATATATATATATATATATATATATATATGACGTGATCTTTCAATACCGGTATCAACTAAAAAGCTTGATACCAAATCATAATTGTTAATATTTATCAATCTAACGATTATAATTTATTGAGAATTAATAAATTAATTAATAAGTATGACCTAATAAATTATAACCATTAGATTTATAAAATTCAACAGTTAAACTTTGGTATCAGAGCATCTTGTCACTATATACCAAATCATAATCGTTAATTTTTGCTAATATAACGATTATAATTTATTGAAAATTAATAAATTAATTAATAAATGTGACATAATAAATTATAACCGTTAGATTTACGAAAATCAAAGGTTAAACTTTGGTGTCAGAGGATGTTATCGCTATACATATATATGTTTATATATATTTATTAATGGGATGAGGAACTTATTGTTATTATATAAGTTTTAGTTTCTTTATCGTTTGTAAGATAAATGCTAATTACATTTTTTTCATTAAACCAAGGTAGCTAAAACATTGCTAAATCACTGAATTATATTTTTTTTATATTTTTCTTATATCTTAATTTTTTTCAGAAGTCATTTAATCATTTTAACTTGGTTAATTTAGAAATAAAAGATTTAATGCTCTCTTACGATTTTTTTTTTCCTCTTCTACCTACTCTTTTAGTTGGATTCCTACCACTCTAGTTGTGGAGCCTCTTTTAAGACTTAATTAGGCATTCCTTAACTCCAACAATGACACCACTCTAGTAGACATACTTCTCGTAGGCCTTCATTAACTCCATTAATGAAAAAAAATAATTTTTATGAGATTACGAAGAATTTATGACCTCAAAGAGGAAGGAATGACCTTGATCAACCAACCTTTATTAGTCTCTTGATCACATTCTCGAATTGTGATTGTAATAAATGTAAATATTCTTTTATTATTCTAAACCCAACATAAGCATATTAATTACCAAAATAAAAAATACAAAGAGCTATTTGAGAAATTATCAAGGTGAAAAAAACAAACATATAATAAAGTGATCACTTGAAATATTTGTGGAATATCTCATGTGATTTTGGAATATCTTTCTTTTCCTTGAGACATAGACGTCAAGATTTCTTAATTTTTTTTTTTTTTTTAAAAAAAAACGCATTGGCTTTTCAAGCACACCCAATTAGGTGCTTATGTGTTTTTGGAATATTTTTCTTGGCTTGAGACATAGATCTCATTAGGGTTAAATTTATGTCATTTAACATGATAAATCAAATTCCTACATACGCATAACAAAGGTAAGTCTTATATTTATTTTTTTCTTCAATTATTTATGAGTCCCTCTTATAATTTTGTTTCACTAACATAAAATAATCTATCTCCAACAACATAAAAAAAACATTTCCCATCTAATTAACTTTTAATTAAAAAAAGAAAGAAAGACGACATTGACTCTTCAAGCACACCAACCCTATTCTATTATTTTCTTGCATCCAACCCTACCTGTAAATCTGGTCAGCAGTCTATGGCTGCCTATTAATTTAATACAACTTGTGGGTTACCGTTCTGCCTATTAGAAGGGAATAAATTTCTCAGATCACATTAGCTATATTTATTCAATAATTGTCATGTTGGATGCTAAGAAGAATCAAATAGTTCAGATATATGTGTAAAGGTTAAGTATAAGCTAAAAGGAATGAGTTCAGGTGACAAATTCCTTGTTATGTACCATGGTAACATGTCACAAGGTTATACCTACACCTTCCGTAGAATATTGTAGTTGATTAAGATTAAGCTTATTTATGAAAGCAGCAGGTATTTCATTTGGTTACGCTTTTCCAATAATAAGCATGCAGGTATTTCATTGGGATTACAGTAATAATTAGAAAAGAAAAATACAAAAAACGTAGAAAACACCAAAAAAATTAAAAATTAAAAGATATTGGCATATTAATGGGGTTTGATTTTCTCATGTTAAATGAGAATTCAATTCTTATGTTGTAGAGATAAAAAGCATGTGGGACCCAGATGTTAGAAAAAATTATATGTAGGACCCGTGTCAGCACGGAAATCGAAGTGTGTGTAGAAGAATTTGAATTCTCATGTTAAATGAGAATTATAAAACCCATAAACAATAGAATGAAATAATAATAACAATGAATGAAATATAATACGTGAGGATTGGAAGAGAGAAGATTCAGGCACCGTAAAGAGGCCGAGAAATTATCCGATTAGAAACCGACCCACTGAGCTGCCGAAGGCAGAGTTGTGAGGAAGCGAATGTGAATGCGTTTTGATGATTGATGAATTTAATGAATGTCAAAGAGATTTGAGACTATAAGAACCACTTCGATGGATATGGCGGTTGCAACTGAGGAGGGTGCAACTGCCAGCGCGGGCTGTATGAGTCCCCTCGTTTGAGATGGGAAAAACATTCATTTTATATTCTCCTTTTTTTTCCCGTTCCCTCGATTCCACTTTGAAAACAATAAATAAGATTTTAATTTTTCAAAATAAGAAAATAATAATAATAATAAACGATTTTGTCGCGTAACATATAACCGTGAAGCGAAAGCTAAGGAGATAAAAAATATATACCAATTATATAATGAGGAAGGTTATACTTACAACTTTTTTTTACAACCTCTTACAATCATATCTTAACACATTTAATTTTCGTCAATTAACAGTTATCATTTATTGTAAATTAATAATTAATTAATGAGTTTAAATTTCGAAAATAATAACCAATAACACCGTTGGTTTTTGTTAATATAAAGAAATTATTGCTTTGTGGACAATTTTCCTTGGCGAATAATACGTTTCATATACAAAACGACAAGCGATGGGACGAAAACGGAAAACCAAATGAGAGTGACGCAACGCAACACTCGAATAGAGGATAGAACACAAAAGTAACGCATTCATATTCGTGACCGAGGTCTGCGTTCGAGGAATCAAATTCTGCATCTCTCAAAGCTACGATTCTTGACTGATGGCTTTTTTGCTACACGTACATCATTCTTTTGCTTACGTGCAACAACATTTTCAAACCACCCTATCGCCAACACCTACACCCAATCTTTATTTCAAAAAAAGAAGAAAAGGACATCGGGTGATGAAGCTACAGCGAAGTATATGCTCCATATATCAAAGAAGGAGCATATTTTTTTTTTACGGGAAAAAAAATATTTTTGAAAATATGATGGAAAATTTTTTTAGCGGATAAATTATAAAAAAGTATTTGACAGGTTCAATTTTTTTTTGGAAATATTGGATTATTCTATTAATTAATGTTACGGAAAAATAAAAGTAACATGTATCATATGATATTTTTTGTTTAGGAATATGATGTATAAAATGAAATAATGAGAAAAAAAATTTCTTACGATTATTTTCAGTTTTTTCGTAACAAAAGTTGAAAACAAATTTGTCTCACCCCACTTTCCCAGAATTTCTAGAAAAATCATGGTACTTATCACCACCTCAGTCACCATTTCTCTTTGTATTTTTATTAGACGTATGTGGTTGTGTAATTTCACAAATCACAACCTAGACAATTGAAATAACGAAAGAAAATATTTGAGTAATAAAAGCAAAAACTTTTATAAATTTATAATTTTTATTATTCAGTTTGCAAATTTAATAAATCTATGATTTTTTTTTGGTACAAAAATCTATGATATTTATCACTCAGTCCATAACATTTAGCAAAAAATGAGTAATTTAAAAAAAAACACGGTACCTTTGAAAAACACCAAAGTAAAACCAAGAAGGGCTACACAGAGATTGAGGGTCCGTTTGATTGTGTTTTATTAAGGTGGTTCACACAATGAGCCTTGGAGTAACGAATGAACATTCCCAGCACAAAGTATCCAACCACAATGGATGACACATAATACTCCATAATGAAGCTTAATTAGCTTTGCTGTCATATCTAACCAGATCTTACCAAGAAGAAAATATTTTAGAAAACAAGACAAATCCAAGACATTATATAAGTTACATGACATCATTTTACCTTGCATTAAATTAATTTCCAGCTTCATAGACCCCAAAAATCCATGCATGTAGAAAACAATAGAACAGGGTTCACTTGACCTATTATGCAGGTAAAGGAACATAAAGAAATCTTGTTCTATTAATTTATTACAAGTACACTTATTGGACATCAAGCAAAGCCTGTAACTCCAACTCAGCATGGTTGGCAAGTTTGTAATCATATATCCATTTGGCAGGTTTCCATAATTATTTTTTGCTTATTATTTTTAATCTCAAATAATATTATATAGGAATAAAAGATCCTCAAACCAGTAGGCGCAGCTTCTAACTTCTGTAACGAGGCTTTGGTGAAAGTAGGCAGGAACTGTAACCTTGGACTCATAAACCATAACATCCTTTCAATCAAAAATGCATTAAGTACAACCAGCTCCCTTTTTTCATTTTTTCTACATCAAGACATGACATCTATATTAACAAAACTGTTGTGATCTCATCAATATTAATCAGAGACCTGAAAGCTTAAAACCTCACTTCACACCCCATTCCACTATCGACAAATCTTATTAAGAGTAGTAAATACATTACTATGTTTCTCTGAACTGAGGAGTACCCTTCTCCATAAGCAAATTCGTTATCTATAAAATCAGGAGTGAGGTTGTCATGAAACTTCGATGCTTTGACCACATATAGTGCCAAAACAAGATTGCCTTGCCCGATTGCTATGTGTCAATATCAAACCCCTTTGTCCAAACAGGGATGCAGTATATTAAGATCCCAAAAGAGAATGAGACACATATTGTAATAATAGCATAGGCATACGCTCTCCAAGGATGATTGCTTTCTCTCATTGCATTAAACTCAGCAGCAAAAGTAGAAACAGTACTCAGACACCCCATCATACCAAACTGTATTCCTGCTACAACAGTATCACAATTCCTGGTGTTCACCTGCATCAAACAAGTAAATACTGGTCGTTACCTTCAAAATTGTGATGCAAGGTCTCTTGACTTTTGTATTGGGATATAAGGTCCAGATTCTCAAAAACAACATAGGTAAAAGCAAACACATTTAGAGCTAAGTAGTTACAATACAATGCAACTATATAAAGAAAAAGGTGCTTCCATACAAGCCATTAGATAACACCTTGGTCCGGATAAGTCCACCTTAGAGTTTGTGAGAGGCTTGCGAGATAAAATCGATGCAAATATCGTTAAGAGAAATAAGGGCAACAATCAAGATGGTAACTCTAATGTAGAACTTGAAAGATAAGAGGTATATCCTACTCAAATATAAAGACAGATTCTATGGCTACTAGCTTAGAGATTAACCAATGAAGTTAGACATGGGAGAATTGGAACATGAATGATGGCAAAGAAACTTACTGCATTCTTCACACTAGCAAGTGCAGCCATAACACAAGCAGCTGATACATTGGCAATTAGAGTCCCAAATGGAATCCATTTAAGCAATCCTGCAGTTCCTATCCCACATCCATTGAGTCGCGCTAAGAACCATCTAATCCATACACCGATAGGTCCAACCATGCATGCAAACCATAACTGAGCAGCACTGCCACCATGTTTGAACTCATCCTTTACTAATGCTCCACTGACACCCCATAGTATGCCCAATATAACCAAGAACATCACCATAACTATCAACTGATGGCGGTAGTTGTCTACTTTGAAGTTGATCTTAGAGCAACCATTTCCTGAACTCATGTTCAACCTGTTCAGGAGCCACCTGAAACCCTTGGCAGTTTCAATCCCAAATATGATGGAAAAGGCAACAAGAAATAATCCTGAAAATTTTGAATGGTAAAACAAAATTCATTATATCAATTGAGCCATGCAGAGGGGACCAAAAAAATCAAATTACCTACTTGGGATAAATATATAAATGGAAAAAGAAAAAGAAAAAACTTTGAATGAAACAGCTACAAACCTGTAACTATCAAACACCATTATTAAATGCACTTATTTACCTAAAAGAAAGCCAAGTGCAGAGAAGAGCCAGCGGCCGGAAACACTGAGTTCAAGCATTTTTTGATTCCAACCACTGAAGGTTGTGAGGCTCCCTAAGTAACCAGTTGTAATTGCTATGGCTAGATGCTCTGACACATGAGATATGTCTCCTTTGAACACAACTCCAAACCATCCCATTAAAAATGAACCAATCTAGAACGAAATGTAAAAAATTAGCATTAGCATGTTATCTGAACCAGCCTCTATTTGAATGAACTTCAAAACGGACTTAAATTTCACTTTCACCTAGAAGCAGTTTGAAACTTCTGTAAGATTGACCGTGTTAAAGCAAGATTCAAAACTAATTTGCAATTGTGTTCTATAGATAAAGGACTTGAGTGTCACTTGACAGCAAATTTAAAATGTCAGTCAGATTTACTGTATTATATCAGATTTAAAACAAATTTTCAATTGAGCAAACTGTAGATTAAGGATTTAAGAAGTGCACAACACAAAAGCAGAAAAGGAATATCTACTTCAAGCTCAAAAGTCAGAATATTCCTATTTGGGTTCACCAACTGCTTAAAAGGTGACACAAATTTTCTCTGTTGTTAGAAAAGCAGAATTTAATATACATTGTGCTTTCCAACATTTTATTATCATAATGTCTGGAAGTTATGTTCCCGGCCAAACAATTCTGGAGTGTTAGTCTTTATGAACACACCATATTCTGTATGTACCAAAACACAAAAAAATAATGAAGATGGAAAAGGGATCACACCATATTAGAAGGAAGGTCAAGGTAAAGAATAGTTTGCTCGCTTGTCACGCCGGCAACCCCAGGGCCAAATAACTTTTGAAGTAAATATCTTGTTAAGACCTGCATAGTTATTATGACAATTTTTGTATTAGACTTTTGCGGATAACTGCTTGTCCTAACATGAAATTCGACAATGAAAAATATATCATAGTGCCAGTAACAGCTGAAAATTTTCCATAAGCTCTCAATTACAAGCAAAAGAAATACGAATTAAAACTATGGAAAATATAATTAATCCATTCTGCAGCAACAGGAAAATATGATACACCTAACATTATTTATCAGGGGATGAGAAGAAGCTGATAATGGTACACCAAAGTACTTAAATAAATTTATCGCAGACAAGCACATAGGTGGAACTTGGATTGTTATTATTACTGTTTTGTCTTGAACTAACTACATAGTTCAATAATTAAAGTACCGTGCCTTCTTTATCATTATTGTATGGAAACATTGAAACTGCACCAGAACTGATGCGGTAATGCAATCATAAGTATATCTAACAAGTCAAGGTAAAAGTTTAAGCATATTACCCCAAGAATTCCAAAAACAGCTAAGTGAAGCATACATGAAATATAGTCCAGCAACTCTGGCAAGCTTTTACGCGGTTCCTGAAAGTAGATAACATTGTGTAAGCTACAATATATGACAATATTTGAAATTATCTATAAATATGATTAATTAACAAACAAAAGAGAGAAACCAAAAAGACATGAAAGGTGTTGAAGAGAGCTAACTTGCTTTGAATCTTCAGAAGCCACAATTGTATCGGTAGGAAGAGGCCTAACAGAGGAGTTAGGATGGGAGAAGGAAGGGTATGGTTGCAACCTGTGCTCCTCTAGAATGGAAACACCAGCTTCATTTTCTGAAGTGTTATCAAAAGACAAGCGTAAACTGCTGCTCTCACTGAACCTTCTACTTGGAAGAGCTCGATCCCCAATGTCTCCAGCCTCTGAAACACTTTCACACTCAGCATCATTATCTATCTGATGGCTTGATATGCTCAATGAATTCCTTCTCATTGAAGAACAAGAACCTGCACTGTTCATTCTCTCCATGTCAAAGGTAAGACAGACACAGGACTTGTTTTTACTTTTCCACCTCCTAAAACTGCGTTGAACATTCAACTAAATACCAGTTTGACTCATGCAGCTGCCTCACAATTAGAAATAGTTACCCATCATCCTGACAAGAAACAAAAGAAAATACAAACATGTCCTAAAGCTCACAGTAAATAAGTGAGAAAATTAGCAACTTTTCAAGCTTGAAGCCGAAACAAATCAAGGCTCTACCTAAATAATCAAATGGGTACCCAAATAGCAAAAATATTTTTCATAATTCAACTCAAATTTAAATCATATCAGATCGTATAAAAGTTTTAAATTAAATTTAAATCATAAGTACATATAACGATGATTGCTGCAAAGAGAAAGCATTTGAATTCATGTATAATGTAAAGTGCAACAGTGGAAGCAAGCAATTGAAAAAGTAACTAAATTGTCACAATAGACCTGAGAAACTTTAACAAAATGAGACTTAATCTCCCCAAAATGAAGAAATCTTGAGGAAAACAAAAGCACGTTGAGTTAGAAGTTATGCATTTTGATAGGGTATGCGCTAAGAGATACCTAGAGGTAGGTACCGTAATTGGCTTATAGCCAGTATCCAAATCACTGCGTACAAGCAATAGGCTTATAGCTGAGACGTAGATGTGTGCACAGTGTTGGCAATAATAGTAATTACGTTCAATGCGTTTCTTGAGATTATTTTGCATTTATCAATCAAAATAAAAATAATGATTACAGGACATACACTATATTATAAAATATAGTGCAGAAAAAAAAAATCAATTTCGTGCTTGCTTATAAAATATGATGGCATTCGTAAGTGATTGTTTTGCACACATCTAACGAAAAGGTCTATACATGATTCACATAGAAGACATTATACAGTGCTTGCATAGCATGTGTAAAATTCATTACATACTGCAATATAAATAAATAAATAAAAAATTATGCTCCAAAATATTAAAGAGTTTCTGTATGAGTGCTCTTATCTGAAATATAGCAAATTCTGGATTTATCGTGTACAGGTTGTCTTATCTAGCCTTGTTTATATAAGATCAGAATTTATGAAAAGATCAAAATTTCAAAAAAAATATGTCTAAAAAAAGCGACAAAAAAGGAACAAACAACCAAAATATATGCTTCAAGATTTCAAGGACTTAACAAACCCAAATAAACAGTATATTGAATAAAAATTGTAACAAACAACGGTGACAGCAAAACTTCCGTGGACTTATTCAAATTTTTCAAATAAAAAAAATCGAAACATACTAATGGGCACGTTTCACGAACGGTAACAAACATACTTATTCAAAACTTCCGTTTAACATTTGCAATATAATAGGCACGTTTCTCGAAACATATTCAAGTGAAAAAAGTTCAGTCTAAAATAATCAATGCTTGCGTATACCGTATTAAACATTGTGATCGCATTTTTCACCCGTTTTAAACTTTATTCGGATATGTCCTGTTGTTTTTTTCTTTTTTGAAATATTCCAATCGGTTCATCGCTTGGCAACTAATCTGATTCGGAGCGGGTCTAGGATGAAAGCTTTAAACCCTTCCCAAAGATAGTACTGCGAGTATTCGAACACATGCTCTCTCCCCACATATCTTCTTGTTAATCTTATTATATAATAATATAAGCGTATAATTACAAGAGTCCGTGACATGATTAAATAAATAAAAAATGCATGGCACATGGCTTCAACTTTAACAACACATAGAGGACCACAAATGAGAAAAGGAATGCCCCAAAGTCTGTCACACTTGCGCAAGGAACTCAAATTTTTTTTTTTATTTATTTATTGACAGCAGAAAAACAATAGTTAAAACCAAAATAAAGATTTATGATGATTTCAAATAGATATAGATTCATAACTACAGTAAGCCTTATGTTTCACGATAGCAGTCGACAAAATAGGAGGAGCATGTGTTGAATCTAAAACACTCAAAAGATTTAAAAGTGCACGACAGTAATTGGGTATAGTCTTGGAAAACACTAATCATAATAAGAGATGTAGACCAAAAGAAACTCTTATAAAAAAAATTGCACGTGAAACGATGATAAAGCATATAACACTGTATATGGAAATCGATCGAATAGCAAAAACAAGACCGCTCAATTCAATCAATCAATTCATATTTAATGGATTCTATAATTATATATATTAGACTTTGATATCAAATAAAAAAAATATTTTAATCCTGAATCATGTATATAATTATAAAATATCAAACAATATGAAATTAAAGTTGAAATTATGCGTACCTTGTTGTTTCATCACAAAGCCAAAGAAAAGAAGGGACTACATGCCAGATCTTCCTCTTTATCACCTATTTCAATAAAGACAGCTTCAGCGATAGGGAGCATGGAGTTTAACTACAATATAAATAGACTAAAGAAGAGACCTAGCTAATAACTCAAGCAAGAGTATGTGTCCACGGAATCTACCTATCATGAAAAACTAGGGTCACATTAGAGCCTATACTACTGTCCAACTAGGCCCAATAACAACAAATGCCAGAAGCCCAATTCAATGTGATTACAATGGACTAGTTACAATAATAATATTGAAATATCTATTAACCCGATTAATATTAAAATACAAAACTAATTAATTAATATTGCCCACGTATAAATAAAAATTCTGACACATGCTCCATGTATCAAAGAAGGAGCATGTTTTTTTACGGGAAAAAAAATATTTTTGAAAATACGATGGAAATATTTTTTAGCGGATAAATTATAAAAAAGTATTTGACAGGTTCAATTTTTTTTTGAAAATATTGGATTATTCTATTAATTAATGTTACGGAAAAATAAAAGTAACATGTATCATATGATATTTTTTGTTTAGAAATATGATGTATAAAATGAAATAATGAGAAAAAAAAATTCTTACAATTATTTTCAGTTTCTAATAACAAAAGTTGAAAACAAATTTGTCTCACCCCAGTTTTCCAAAATTTCTAAAAAAATCATGGTACTTATCACCACCTCGGTTACCATTTCTCTTTGCATTTTTACTAAGTGTATGTGGTTGTGTAATTTCACAAATTACAACCTAGACAATTGAAATAATGAAAGAAAATATTTGAGTAATAAAAGTCTAAAACTTTTATAAATTTATCATTTTTATTATTTAGTTTGCAACTTTTATAAATCTATAATTTTTTTATGGTAAAAAGATCTATGATATTTATCACTCAGTTCGTAACATTTAACAAAAAATGAGTAGTTTAAAAAAAAAAAGCACGATACTTTTAAAAACACCAAAGTAAAATCAAGAAGGGCTACATAGAGATTGAGGATCCATTTAATTGTGTTTTATTAAGGTGGTTCACACACAATGAGCCTTGGAGCAAGGAATGAACATTCCCAACACAAAGTACCCAACCACAATGGATGACACATAATACTCCATAATGAAGCTTAATTAGCTTTGCTGTCAATTTAGGGGTGTAAATGGGCTGGTTTGGCCATCCTGGCCCAAGCCTACGTAAAAAAAAATTCAGCCTATCTGGCCTACTGGCCTATTAAAGGCTTTATCTGTAGGCCAAGCCCGGCCCATTTTCAAAAATAAGAAAGCCTGACATGGCCTACAAGCCTTGTAGGCCTCCCACTATATATACTAAGCAAAAAAAATAATTGTAGTAAAGAATGTTCCATTCATGCATGCACTAGTACTTCTCATAAGAAAAAAATGACAAACAAGAAAGAGTCAACATAATACCTCAGCTCTAGAATGTATATCATAGAGGAATAAAGTCAAAGAAATGGGAAAAATAAGAAAAATACAATTACTGGATGCTGAAATAAAGTCTACAAGAGAATGTCATTCATCTAAAAATCTTTAAACCACCATCAAGACAAGGGAAAGAAGAGTATTATTGAAAGATCATCATTAGTAACATCATAATCCAGCAAGGTACCCATTGCTCCATGGTATTAAGCTGCAACAACATGTAAAATTTGGAGACATTAGACAAGTTTTCCTTTCATAAAATAAAATAGCACAAAAAGTAAGAGATATTGGTATTTGGTACTTTGTGTCTTTGCCACATAAAATAAATATTATTTTATTATTTTATTTTAATAAATTAAATAGGCCAGCCTACAAGGCTGTAGGCCGGGCTTGACAAAATTAGCCTATGGCCTATTTATTAAAAAAGCTTTTTTATAAGCCTAAGCCTACTCTACTTTTCTAAAAGGCTGGGTCTGGGCTGGGCTCAATGTAGGCCGGGCCGTAGGCTGGGCTGGGCCAGCCTGGCCCATTTACACCCCTAGCTGTCATATCTAACCAGATCTTACCAAGAAGAAAATATTTTAGAAAACAAGACAAATCGAAGACATTATATAAGTTACATGACATCAATTTACCTTGCATTAAATTAATTTGGATTGAGATAATAATCAAATGTGTGCTATGTTGTACACACCAAATCAGATCCTATGAACCAGGGATCAGCAGTGCACGGTCCTTGAAATGAAAGCAAATTATACTTAAAATTCCTGCATGTGAACATGGTAGTTGTGCATTTAATTTAATTTAATTAGAATTCTCTCCAAAGAAGATAGAACAAAAAAATTGACTTAGTTAATTTATAAAAAATAACAATAATAATAATAAAGTAGCTTAGAAAGTACCTGAACTTATTTTCACGAAAAGGTTACACTGGATTCAAATTCAAAGTAATGTTCTCTACCAAAGAAGATACGCATATGCTTGAAAATTGAAGTACAATGAAATTTCAGCTAATTTTTTTTTTTTTTTCTGGCACTCGTTGCACCGGGAATCCACCTCCACCATAAATGATAGATAGGAGAGAGAGAAAGAGAGAAGAAACGAAACAGTGACCCGCTATGGCTATGGGTCTATCTGTCATTATCGAATAAAAAATAATACCCATAAAAGAGGGTCAAGGGAGAGACGTACGTGAATGAAATTAATGCATTTGCGTCGGCTAACAAGTTTCAAAATAATTTGAATAAAAAAAAAAATTCAAAACTTTAAGCGGATTTCGAGATATCCTTAAATCCATGAGATTAAATTAAACTGTAACTCTCAACCTCTCCTTCAACTGAAGGCCATAAACAGAGATTTCAGTAACTGATCCAATAAAGCATGAAACATGGAGGTAGCAAAATCATACCAGTTTCTGCGCTGGATCTTGGGTCTCCTTGAGCTGAAGCTCTGGTTCTGATGGAAAAGGAACTGAGACGTAGCAAACCAGAATCAGAATGAGAAATGGATGATGATGATGATGAAATGAGGAAGGAGAAGATACAGAATGTTGAATGAGAGAAAGAGAAAGACGAATTTGGTGCTCGTAAAATTCGGAAGTTTGTTGAGGATGAAAGAGAGAGAGAAAAAACAAATACATTGTCATCAATTTGGAACGGGATGCATATAAATCCACAAAAGATGACTTATGAATAGCGGTTTAAATGGGCTGAGCTGGGCATCCTGGCTCAAGTCTACGTACAAAAATTCAGCTTATCTGGTCTACTAGCTTATTAAAGACTTTATTTGTAGGCCAAACCCGGTTTATTTTCAAAAATAAGAAAGTCTGACATGGCCTACAGGCCTTGTAGGCCTCCCACTATATATACTAAGCAAAAATAATAATTGTATAGAGCATAGAGTCAACATAATACCTCATTCATGCATGCACTAGTACTTCTCATAAGAAAAAAATGACAAACAAAAAAGAGGCAACATAATACCTCAGCTCTAGAATGTATATCATAGAGGAATAGAGTCAAAGAAATGAAAAATATAAGAAAAATACAATTACTCTATGCTAAAATAAAGTCTACAAGAGAATGTCATTCATCTAAAAATCTTTAAACCACCATCAAGACAAGGGAAGGAAGAGTATTATTGAAAGATCTTCATCAGTAACATCATAATCCAGCAAGGTACTTATTGCTCCATGGTATTAAGCTGCAACAACATGTAAAATTTGGAGACATTAGACAAGTTTTCTTTTCATAAAATAAAATAGCACAAAAAGTAAGAGATATTGATATTTGGTACTTTGTGTCTTTGCCACATAAAATAAATATTATTTTATTTTAATAAATTAAATAGGCCAGCCTACAAGGCTGTAGACCGGGCTTGAAAAAATTGGCCTATGGCCTATTTATTAAAAAAACTTTTTTATAAACCTAAGTCTACTCTACTTTTCTGAAAAATCAGATTTGAACTGGACTCAATGTAGGCCGGGCCGTAGGCTGGGATGGGTCAACCTCGCCCATTTTCCCGCTACTTATGAATTACAAGGATAAACATTTGGAAAATACCGAAAAAAGAAGAAGCAATAATCGGTCCAAAGATACCGCCTACAATTGAAGTTTCACAACAAGGCATCAAGAAAGTAAAACAACTTTATTTTTTTGGATTCTGTGGTCTGTATTTGACTTGTCTTAAACCATTTGGCATGTATGATTATGGCTCTATGCCATTTCCCTTTCTCTTACGGAAGATGCCATAACTTATTAATTACCTCTGAGCAATGCATCCAAAACCCAGTTGTACCTAGAAATGTTATTTTAATAAATTTTAAATCAACGGTTACAAGCCATCATACGAGTGTCATACAAGATTGAAAGACAGTAAGCATCGGGAGCTTTTCAGCGGATATCTATTTTTTTCAAGTATGACTTTTAGAAATACCATGTTTTTTTCAACGTTTTTCACCAAAAACTCATATATCCAATTTGTCTGGATTTATGAGAAACATAGATATCCGCACTGTTTAGAAACTCAATTTGAAGGTGGGATTTTTCGGAAAACCGGTTATTTGGCTTTTAATGCACTGTTGATTTCATAAAGTTACCTAATTTTTCTAGTAAAAATTTTCCCCACCAAACAACTTTTTTTTACATTTTTCTACCTATCTCACTTTATCTATCTTTTCAATCATTTCTCTATCTATCTCATTTTCTTACTATTCCAAAAAAATTTCCTGAACCAAACGCTCATAACTTACAAGATATATATAAAATTAGAAATTAGGATAAGTCACTTCGCGTCTATCTTAGACGTGGGTCTCGTATGTTGACTTTTATAACTTAGTATTTGTCTTTCATTCGTCAACTAAAAAATATTTTAGTTGAATTAATTTCTTTTTAAAGAACTCGGTTCGCCATCCGTGTTTACTTGTGAATCAAAACAATTGTTAGGTTAACTAGTTTTTAAACCCACCGTCCAGTCAAGTCAATTTTATTTTATCAATGCTTAAGATTTTCCTTATTTTATTTATATTTTGACATTTCAATTTGAATTAACGATGAACACTACTCACTTATATCCTTATCATCTCAACCTTACTTAAAAAAAAAATTAAAATGATATATATATATATATATATATATATATATATATATATATATATAATTGTTTGGCTACCCCATAGTTAATCAATACTGAAATATTAAAATGTGAATGAAATAAACTCGACCTCAGGTGACACCTCACCAAAATACAATAATTTATGTGCTCCATAACTACATGAATACTGCAGAAAATTTGGCCGGCCCAATTTGTCTGGCAAAAAATCCGTACTAACGTTAATTTTGAAATGTATCTTCATCGTAAAACACTTTTCAAAAGAATGACCAATGTAGAGCAGTCAAACACGTAGGTTTGACTGACGAGATAAGTCCCGCCAGTGTGAAAGACGAGATCAGAAGCCACGTAGGAAGCCCAACCAATCGCGTCAGTCCATGTCACGTGTTTTCCACGTATCCCGCCACCTGCTGTGACATGTACCAGTCCCGCCATGTCAGTTGGCGAGACTAAGCCACGTGTGCGACACATCCGCAGTTCTTGTGACGCGTTCCAGCCTCCCCTCGCCACACTCGTGGGGTAGCGTCCGGTTGTCAATCTCGCCACTGACACTTACGGTTGATACCTGTCTGGTTATATATAGGTCTTCCGGTGTTTGCTAGTATTGAAACTTTGGAATTTGGTTTATGTTTGCTATTTTTGTATATGATTTTGACGGACGGTTTCTTTACTTGTAGTAATGTGTTTGTATCACTTGCTGTGTGTAATTAATTTCGAAAAGGTTTTGTGTCACTTGCTGTGTGTGTAATTTCCAAAAGGTTTTGTGTCACTTGCTGTAATGCGGATTCAAATGTTGTTTATTTACTTTTTTTAATCTCCACTTGCATCTGATCTTTTTGTGTTATTTGCATACACCCCTGTATTATTACAATGGAACAATATCGGTCTTTTGTATATTATAATGGTTCTAAAATTAACGGTGTAGGCGGGTTGAGATTCGAAGGGGAAAAAAGAGCAATGTATATTGTGCGAGGCTTGTCCATTGAAGATCTACTTCAGAAGATTCGTCAGAAGTTGAAGTTGCAACAAAATCAGGTAATTTCTTCAATAACGGGTAGAGTCCCAAGTGGAAATCGCAAATATGCAGGTTTTGATCTAACTGATGATGAGGACATTGATATTTTTCTTGGAACATTTGTCCAAAACTCTACTACTTCTCAATTTGTTGAGTTATACGTGGATATTGAGACATCAGACGAAATGTCAACACCGACACGTGGGTTAGACCTTAACAGTCAGACACAAATGCCGTCATCATCGGTACCCCAACCCACACAATCAACTATTGCGCATGGAGATGAAAGCGACTATATGGTAGATGTTGAACCTGACAATGAAGATGAGGAGGAAGATGAAGAAAATAAAAATCGGACAGCATAACAGCAGAAAACTGGACAATCCCCTTAAACCTGAAATGCAGAAAATAACAGTCCAAATACATATCAACTATATCCATAGTTGGGAATTCCGAGTTCCCAGATACAAATCATTCTGCAGTACTACACATGAAACCATACATGACATAACAAAAACAGTAAATTACAATAATCCATAAGTACAGTCATCCACAAACACATCTAAAATGCATAGATAGGGAAACAATACAAAAATACCAAAAAAAAGGCTACTGAAACAAATGTTATTGTATACCGTCGTCCATAGTGATCGGCTGGGTCACTTGGTAGTGGCATGGGCGGTGCTATGGTAGGAAAACGGGTCCATGCCCATATCTGTAACAACAACGTACATCCCCCAATATCACTGGCCCCTGAAGATGTTGCCTGACATAGCTCACGTAACAGTACTGCAAGTACCGCAGATCCCCAACTATATGTATTGGTTTCCTCAAAGTCCCCATCTAATAGTTGAGTGTATCTACACCCGACAACTGAACTTGACTTGTCACACAGCAAGAAACCTCCAAACAGACGCATCAGATAGGCACGAGTGTACCTAATCTGTCCCTCGTGAGTACCTGAATGCGTGGCCCAATGACCCCAATGATGAGTCAACCAACTCATCTTAAGGTTTCCACCATCCAAATCGTCTTCAAGTGGAGATCTTCCCATATACTGCAGAATTACGTCCTCCCAGTTGGCATGGGTAAAGCCGGAAACTACCCGACCCTCAGTGCGTAAACCCAGAATGGCCTCAACATCCTGTAAAGTGAGTGTCATCTCTCCCACAGGCATGTGGAAAGTGTGAGTCTCCGGCCTCCACCTCTCCACCAGTGCAGTAATCAGCCTATGGTCAATCTGCATGTGAGAAGCGTAATCGTAAAAATATGCATAAAGGTCGTTATTATTGGTAACATGTAATAAATAAAATAAAATTCATAAATGAAACATACCGGTAATCTTCTCATGCGAGCCGCATGCCAAAAACCTGCACGCACCAAATGCTGCTGCAGGTCCTGGGGGATGTCATCTGGGTCGTGTACATCTCTGTTTCCCCTACCCTCTGAAGCTCGTCTCACTCTCAGAGACTTTAAATGTCCTTCGTTCCACACCACCTGGGATCTATGACATTGCTGCACATCTTCATCTAGTACACCCCACTCTTTCGGACCGGGGTCAATGCGAGGTCCATCACTAGCCATTTAACTAACAACAATTTGTAAAATTTATCAATTATTATAGGGACTACATAATTAAGGTACTATTGCAATTACTATTTAATAAAATATGACTGCAATTGTAATAACAACAGCATATACTAAATAATTACAAGAGTATTTATTACTTTACTATAAAGTTTCATGTCGATTTAATTAACCTTGGCAAATATACAGTCATTAAATTTACGTTTTACAAATTTTCATTGATACTATCTTATTTTTACACACAGGTCACTATGCCATTGCTAAGACAAATTTTATTAATACTAATACAAACATGAATTACTATTAAATCATGCCAATTACATTAATTAAATTACCCTAAAGCATTTTTGCAACATTGTAATGTTAATAAATTATTTTGTATAAGGGATTTAATAGCATGAATAATATTTAACTAATTCACTAAATGGTAATGGCTATTTATTTACTTTTTTAATAGTTATTAAATCAACTTAATATGTTTTTTCTTAGGTTTTATTCATTAACATGAGATCTGCAATTATATAATTATTAAAACAATTATTACGATTTCAATAATTAATAATTGTAATTATTATAAATATATTCAATCTAAATTACTATTTCAGATTAATGTTTATAATTTTCAATATTAACAACTTAGTTTTCTAACATGGTTTTTATAAAGCATTGTAAATTTCAATATGATTACTATTAATCAGGTCACTAATTAAAATCACAACATAATTATGACATTAATCACTTTTTACCAAAAGCCAAAATTACATTGATTAATGGCCAATCTTACGAATAACCTAGCTTGATGCCTACTAAGGATTCCAAAATTATTTTTCTTAATTAATGCAGAATATTTGAAAAGGGCTTTAATGACATGATTATTATTTAATATGACTAAGTATGTGCAGGTTTGTTATAATTAATATATTTGATTAATATTAATATTTATCTTATTTATTAATTACGCAAACAAATGGGCCACTATTTACTAATTAAAAAAAAATTTACTAATTAAAATTGCATTTACTAATAATTATTAAAAGAACCGTTTCATTATTTCCAAAAAAAAAAAAATTAACCGTTTCATTTCATGCCACCACCGTTTGCTGTTCTTCAAATTCAATTGTTCATATATGTTGTAATTTCAGTTCCTTTCATGCCACCACCGTTTGCCCTTTTTCAAATTCAATTGTTCGTTCATATATATGTTGTAATTTTTTTTTGACAGCGGACTCCATTACAAAACTATATGTCCCAAGAGATTTTAAAATCAAAAAGTGAGGCAATTTTTTTAACAGATATATAACAAAACAACTTGAGAACACATGAATCTGTCCACATCAATACACCACAACATGCAAAAAAACAAACATGTGGTCCCCGGAAAAAAATTAACCAGATCATGCCTATAAATAATAGTTCAAACACAACACCATACAAACAACAACATAACACACACATATAAAAATCGAGCCAATAGGTAAAAAAAATACAATGCCAAAATACCTGTGGTTTCGTGACTAAATGGAAAGATGGGAACGCACACAGTTGCTCCGATGGAGGTGCCAACGGACTGGAGAACGATCTTTGGACCCAAAAATTTGCTTGCTTCACTCTCTGACTTACGAAAATGGAAAGAAACAATGGAGACAAACGGAGAAGAAGAAGAGGGAGGGAACAAGAGGGAGGAGGGAGAGAGGCACCAGTTCGGGAAGAGAGAAGATATGAACGGTTGTAAAGGAATGCCGCCAACCAGTGTTACAAGACTTTGGCCACGTGGCTTAGTCTCGCCAACTGACATGGCGGGACTGGTACATGTCACAGCAGGTGGCGGGATATGTGGAAAGCACGTGACATGGACTGACGCGATTGGTTGGGCTTCCTACGTGGCTTCTGATCTCGTCTTTCACACTGGCGGGACTTATCTCGTCAGTCAAACCTACGTGTTTGACTGCTCTACATTGGTCATTCTTTTGAAAAGTGTTTTACGATGGAGATACATTTCAAAATTAACGTTAGTACGGATTTTTTGCCCAATTTGTCTAAATCTTATTTTTGCTTTACCAAGCTTTCAAGAAATGGGGCAAGTGGTGCATTACCATGCATGGATACTTCAAAATTAGTTGTGTATTTATATCCCATCCGTAATTGATACCATTTTGATACGGTTGACTTTATAATTTTTGGCGTTTCAATTTTTTTTAATTGACACAAATTCAAGATATGTAATTGTTTTTTTTTTTTGGTTACATAAAAATTTTAATTTCTCACCAATTAGATTTTCATGTTTCATCTTCCCCAAACCAGCTATCGTGAAATTGGTAGGCAAACTGAAGGAGCACTTGAGTAAGAGAGAGACTAGAGAAAAAAATTCAATGGTCTAGGCCATTCAATTTTTTAGTGGTCTCTCGCTCTCTCTCACAAATAAAAAATTGCTTTTCCTATTTTATCCCTGCTCTTCTTTTCTTATATCAATTTTACCTCTCTATTTGTGTGAGGGAGCATCCAACAATCGGGTGATTCTAGAGTATGGAAAGACTTCTCCAAACAGTAGGTATTTTATATGCCCGCTTACATTCTCCAAACAGGAATACAGTATATTAAGATTCTCAAAAAAATGAAAGACATATTGTAATCATAGCATAGGCATATGCTCTCCAAGGATGCATGCTTTCTCTCATTGCATTAAACTCTGCAGCAAATGTAGAGACAGTACTCAGACAGCCCAAAAGACCAAATTGAGTTCCTGTTACAACTGTATCACAATTTGTGGTATTCACGTGCATCAAATACTAGGTATACACTGATCACAACCTTCAAAGTTATGACACACATTCTCAGAATGAAACAGCTACAAACCTGTAACTATCAAACACCATTATTAAATGCACTTATTTACCTAAAAGAAAGCCAAGTACAGAGAAGAACCAGCGACCGGAAACACTTGAGTTCAAGCATTTTTTGATTCCAACCACTGAAGGTTGTGAGGCTCCCTAAGTAACCAGTTGTAATTGCTATGGCTAGATGCTCTGATACACGAGATATGTCTCATTTGAACACAACTCCAAACCATCCCATTAAAAATGAACCAATCTGGAACGAAATGTAAAAAATTAGCATTAACATGTTATCTGAACCAGCCTCTATTTGAATGAACTTCAAAACGGACTTAAATTTCACTTTTACCTAGAAGCAGTTTGAAACTTCTGTCAGATTGACTGTGTTAAAGCAAGATTCAAAACTAATTTGCAATTGTGTTCTATAGATAAAGGACTTATGTGTCACTTGACAACAAATTTAAAATGTCAGTCAGATTGACTGTATTATATCAGATTCAAAACAAATTTTCAATTGAGCAAACTGTAGATTAAGGATTTAAGAAGTGCACAACACAAAAGCAGAAAAAGAATATCTACTTCAAGCTCAAAAGTCAGAACATTCCTATTTGGCTTCACCTACTGCATAAAAGGTGATACAAATTTTCTCTGTTGTTAGAAAAGCATAATTTAATATACATTGTGCTTTCCAATATTTTATTATCGTAATGTCTGGAAGTTATGTTCCCGGCCAAACAATTCTGGAGTGTTAGTCTTTGTGAACACACCATAATCTGTATATACCAAAACACAGAAAAATAATGAAGATGGAAAAAGGATCACACCATATTAGAAGGAAGGTCAAGGTAAAGAATAGTTTGGTCAGTTGTCACGCCGGCAACCCCATGACCAAATAACTTTTGAAGTAAATATCTTGTTAAGACCTGCATAGTTATTATGACAATTTATGTATTAGACTTTTGCGGATAACTTCTTGTCCTAACATGAAATTCGACAATGAAAAATATATCATAGTGCCAGTAACAACTGAAAAATTTCCATAAGCTCTCAATTACAAGCAAAAGAAATACGAATTAAAACTATGGAAAATATAATTAATCCATTCTGCACCAACAGGAAAACATGATACACCTATTATCAGTGGATGAGAAGCGGCTGGTAATGGTACACCAAAGTACTTAAATAAATTTATCGCAGACAAGCACATAGATGGAACTTGGATTGATATGAAACTGCACCAGAACTGATGCGGTAATGCAATCATAAGTATATCTAACAAGTCAAGGTAATTGTTTAAGCATATTACCCCAAGAATTCCAAAAACAGCTAAATGAAGCATACATGAAATATAGTCCAACAACTCTGGCAAGCTTTTACGAGGTTCCTGAAAGTAGATAACATTGTGTAAGCTACAATATATGACAATATTTGAAATTATCTATAAATATGATTAATTAACAAACAAAAGAGAGAAACCAAAAAGACATGAAAGGTGTTGAAGAGAGCTAACTTGCTTTGAATCTTCAGAAGCCACAATTGTATCGGTAGGAAGAGGCCTACAGAGGAGTTAGGATGGGAGAAGGAAGGGTATGGTTGCTACCTGTGCTCCTCTGGAATGGAAACAACAGCTCCATTTTCTGAAGTGTTATCAAAAGACAAGCGCAAACTGCTGCTCTCACTGAACCTTCTACTTGGAAGAGCTCGATTCCCAATGTCTCCAGCCTCTGAATACTTTCACACTCAGCATCATTATCTATCTGATGGCTCGATATACTCAATGAATGCCTTCTCATTGAAGAACAAGAACCTGCATTGTTCATCCTCTCCATGTCAAAGGTAAGACAGACACAGGACTTGTTTTTACTTTGCTACCTCCTAAAACTGCATTGAACATTCAACCAAATACCAGTTTGACTCATGCAGCTGCCTCACAATTACAAATAGTTACTCATCATCCTGACAAGAAACAAAAGAAAATACAAACATGTCCTAAACAAATATATAAGTAAGAAATATAGCAACTTTTCAAGCTTGAAGCCGAAACAAATCAAGGCTCTGCCTAAATAATCAGATGGGTACCCAAATAGCAAAAATATTTTTCATAATTCAACTCAAATTTAAATCATGTCAGATCGTATAAAAGTTTTAAATTAAATTTAAATCATAAGTACACGTAACGATGATTGCTGCAAAGAGAAAGCATTTGAATTCATGTATAATGTAAACTGCAACAGTGGAAGGAAGCAATTGAAAAAGTAACTAAATTGCCACAACTGACCTGAGAAACTTTAACAAAATGAGACTTAATCTTCCCAAAATGAAGAAATCTTGAGAAAAACCAAAGCACGTTGAGTTAGAAGTTATGCATTTTGATATAATGAAGACGAACAAAGAATGCATTAGAGAAGATAAAAAATGTTGAATGAGAGAAAGAGAAAGACAAATTTGGTGGTCGTAAAGTTCGGAAGTTCGGTGAGACGTTTGTTGAAGATGAAAGAGAGAGAGAAAAAACAAAAAATAGAATGAAATGATATGGGTAAGAAAAAAATACGAGTACAAAATTTTCAAAAATAAAATATAAGTAGGAGGGCAAGAAAAAAAATATAAGTTAAATACCATGTGGCAAGAATATGGAGAAGAATCAAGTTGGCTCTAGCAGCAAAGTTGGAAAGAAAATCTTTCTCCCAAAACAATTCTGATCCACATAAGGAGTTTGTATAATAAGATACTGAAAAAACTTACTGATTTCTTCCTGGTAGCTAATGCAGTCATGACACGAACAACAGAAACATTGGCAATTAGAGTCCCAAATGGAAGCCATTTGAACAACCATGCTCCTATTCCACGCCCATTGAGTCGAGCTAAGAACCACCTAATCCACACACCTAGAGGTCCAACCGTGCAAGCAAACCATAACTGAGCTGCATTACCACCATGTTTAAACTCATCCTTTTCCAATGCACCGATGACACCCCACAATAAACCTGAAATCACCAATAACACTATGGTAACTACCAATTGACGTTGAAAGCTGTCCACCTTAGAGATACAAGTGCCACTTCTAGGTCTCATGTTTAGCGTGCTGAGAAGCCATTTGAAACCCTTGGTCGTCTCTACCCCAAAGATGATCGAAAAAGCGACAAGAGACAAGCCTACAATATTCCAGTTGTTTACAAACTCTTCTTAATAACTAGAAGGTGCTGAGTTAAAATTGACATTCAGATTACTTAGGATAAAATTCCAAAACAGGGAAATAAAAATAGGTAAAGGATCTGAAGGAGACAGCTACTATACAACTAAATTGCCCTTAACAAAATGTGCCATATTACCTACCAATTAGAAAGCCACGGACAGAAAAGAGCCAGTGTCCATCAACACTGAGCTCAAGCATTTTCTGATTCCAACCACTGAAAATTGTTAAGCTCCCTAAGTAGCCAGTTGTTAGTGCAATCGTTAGATGCTCAGATACACGGGATATATCTCCTTTAAATACAACACCAAACCATCCCATCAAAAAGGAACCAACCTAGAAAATGTGTACAATCGAAATCAACTTCGTAATCAATGAACTTCAACAATTGCATTTAACGGGAATGCTAAAGCTTTTATATTGATTGTATGAAAGCAAAAATTGCAACTGTAACTCATTTAATTATCCTGATTTACGTCACTAAAAAATATGAAGGGTTGTAACTTTGCATTTTTAGCAAATCTCAAATGATGTTGAGTAATCCTTAAAGTCAAATTGAGTAACATGCAGATCAAGGAATTAAGGAGATTGAAATAGAGATGAAGCATGCCTAAAACTAACTACTGTTATGCAGTGAAAGAATAAATATGCACTTGCTTTTGAAACACATTTATAATCCGGATTAACTCCCATACACACTCTTATAAAGTACGGGTATACACTTGTTTTAGATGATGTATATCCCGATTAATTCAGGAATCCAAATGCATGTGCCAGCAAAATAATTAATGCTAAACAATTAAATAAAGGTCAAAGAAATAATTAGAGATATATAAAATCATTAATGTAGCCTCACCCATTAGCTTAAGTTTTTGGGTTGAATTGGTTCTTTACATGGTATCAGAGCCTCGGTGCCACTAGTTTGGGATAAATGTGTTGTTGATGTATTACCACAACAATGCCAATAAAGGCTAAAATTGCTTTGCAACCAGCCAAATGATTCTATTGTCCATCTTTTGTTCCTTAATCATTCAATGATTCATAAGGTTATAGTCATCATGAAAATCATATTTTGAAATTACTAGCAAATGATCCACCTAATCCTGCTTAACCTTATTACTTATTTTTCTTCTTTTCTTCTCCTTTGGCAAAATCGGATCAAATTTTGTCTTTTGAATTTTCTTTTCCTTGGTAAAAAAGAAATCATTTATTGCGCTCAAGAGTCAAGACTTGCGCCTGATAATCTGTGCATGCGAAGGGACAAGGGGCAAACCTTATTAGAAGGCAAGTCAGGGTAAAGAATGGTCTGATCACTAGTCACACCAGCAACCCCCGGTCCAAATAACTTTCCCACTAAGTATCTTGTTAAGACCTGCATATTTATTATGGCAATTGGTGCATTAGTATCATGATAATATCTGCATATTTCACAATGAATTGACAACAAAGATAATGTTAATGATTCGGCGGATTGGCAGGTAGATGTTATTTTGAGTACTCTACTTAAACGTCTTAGATTACTGTCCCTTGAGAACACAACTTAGCAAGATTAAATTTGTTCAGCTTCAAATTATGGCACTCTTGGATCAATGAGATAAAAGAGAGAAATAAGTATTTATGTGCAGACAGAATTGGGACTATAATTGTAAGAATATGGAGCGGCTATAATTGGGTTCTTCAGGGTATATGCTAAAATGCTTGGCAGAGAGTTGGTTTGAAGTAAACAAATAAGTCATAGTATATCTTATCTCAAGAATGAGCATGAATATGCAATTTCTTAAACTATTCATTATTTATCAAACTGATTTTTCGGCATACAACACCAACAACCAATCAATGCAAATGGATTCTATCAAAAACAAATTACCAGTAAAACTGTTTAGAGGAAAGTCCTTTAGTATCAAACCTATTTTCTAGCATCTAACGCTTTTTTTAACCATTAAGCAACCGATAAAATTAGAATAATCCAAAGTCAGAAGTTGGCATATTACCCCAAGAATTCCAAAAATAGCTAAATGAGTTAGACATGAAACATATTCCAGTAGCTTGAGTAACTTCTTGTTGTCAAGTTCCTGCAACTAGAGTCAGAATAACTTCATTATTTAATCATGAGGAAATAAAAATAATTCAAATTAATTAAGCTTAAACGTATCATTAACAACCATAGAAACAATAAATCAAGAAAAAGAAATTGTTAAATTAACCCACTTGTTTTATGTCTTCAGAAAGAACTTTTCCACTAGTAGAAACAGGGGTCTGGATCGGTTCGAATGACTTTACATAGGAGTCATAATTCAATGCTGCTGGATATTGATGCAATTCATGGTCCCCATGAATGTAAACACCTCCATTTTCGGAAGATCTCTCACTGTGCCTTGGGCCATGAAGAACTCGATCCCCAATATCTCCTGCTTCTGAAACACACTCACTCTCAGCATCATCATCATCATCTACCTTTTGACTTATTGAAAGCCTACTAACTGCAAAACTGCAACTGCTTGTTCTCTCCATGAACCCCTCGAAAGCAATAAAACTTTTTTCCCTCTGAAATAACTACAAAGTTGTTAAAAAACCAAGTCAAGATCAGTGTTATCCTAAATGAGTGATCCAGCTACTACTGGAAATCTTGTTTTTTTGTTTTCTTGCTTTTCTTTCTCCTTTTAACAGGGAATGATGAATCCAAAATACAAAACATCTACTTATCAAATTACATAATGGATTGTGAACTACTTCGCCTTAAGAAAGCTAGCAACATGTGTGTGAATTTAAATAACCGCTGCTACCGACTTTGTAGTTTTTAAACAAAGAAAAGAAGCCAACATTGAAACTTCCAACTAAAAAAGAAATAATTTATCTGCAAGTCAATATGAGAGAGATGAAAAAGCAGCTATCAGGCTTAGAATTAAAAATTCAAGTGCATAGTTGACTTATATTTATACATTTTTTTTAACGTAAAAGTAATAAACAAATATGTCAGCTAATAAAAACTTCAAATATATGCAGAATTCATAAAAAGCCATTAGTCTTGCATGGTGCTCAGTGCATTACCAAAAATAAAATAAAAAATGTTAAAATTTATCTGTGTTCTGGATCTTCTCTTCTATAATTCCTCTAATCCCTACTTTTTAGCAATTACTGCATAGACACTATGCCTTCAACCTGTCTATCATATGTCACCTATTGCGACGTCTTTTTCTTTTAAAAAATAAAAAATAATTCAACCCAAAAACTTAATATTATAAATGATGGGTTTTTTGATAATTTTTATATTATATCTCTATAACATATGCTCTTGTACAAGAATTTTTTGGACTTGAAATATGAATATTATACATACCTATCCTCTATAAAATGGTGAAAATCCAACTCGTGAGCCGTGGTAACCTTGCATCATAGACAATCACGAGCAGCATGCAGATCCCATATTGCTCACTGCGGATCGGTTAGACATGCACGATCATACCAAAATTTATCAAATATGGTCTACAGAAATTAGAAATGTTAACACTATTCAAACAAAGGAAATTCAAAAGCAAGCTATCTTTTCACATCGAAGGAAAAAAGTTAAGGTCATAAGTGTTATACCCAAATAATTAGTGCCAGCTCTGAAATGAAAGAAGCTTAAAAATTCACAAGTCACCATACCATGAATAGTATTTACTTTTCTCTTTTTCTTGTTGTATATAATTTCTCTTTTTTTGGAATTTTATTTTTAATCGAAAATTAATTTAAAATCCAAAATTAATATTAATTAGTGGAAAAAAAGGGAATCATTATCTTTGTGAGGTTAGGCTGAATTAAAGTTCCACTACTTTATGCATGGGTAATTGTTAGGTGCATTTAATATTAAATTTGAAATGTAAATGATGATGCACTGCACACAATAAAAGAAGTTCAGAGATTTTTCATGTCCATTTTGGAAGTTGTGTATATATATCATATGTTTTGCTTGGTTCATCCCTTTTGTCATAGCCTTTTGTGATTCTTCCCCTCCTCATCCTCTGGTCAATGACTCTCTCTGTTCTCTATCTATCGCTCTGCAACAATTGACGGCAACACTAACACTGTTTCATCCATCATCGACCAATCATTTCATTTTCCCTGCATAATCTATCAAACTCAACACTGATTCTCCTTAACTTTCTCGAAACAAAATAATTTTTTATCCAAAAAAAAAGCACACGAGATGGCTAGATGTTTCAGCTTCACTGCTTCGCGTGACAGGTGCTTCCGCTACTCCTTCTCGAACGCGGGTCTCAAATCCACCACCACAGATCTCGGCGATGGCACCATTATGCATTGTATGGTCCCCAAGACCCACACCGATTCCAAGTCTTCCTTCTTTCTCATCCACGGTTTCGGAGCCAATTAAATGTGGCAGTGGAGTGAGTTCATTTCCTCACTCCATTTTGGAAGGTGTGTATATATATCATATGTGCTGCTTGGTTCTTTCCTTTGGTTATCGCCTTTTGTGATTTTTCCCATCCTCATCCTGTTTTTATGTGTTATCTGTTGCATCTTCATCTTCTCAACCTTTTTTGGTGTCAGATATGTACTCCATGTATGATTTCATTAAGGATCTTAATCCGTCGAAGGAGGAGTGGAGGATTAAGGTGAGAGTGGTTAGGACTTGGAAGGTTCCTAATTTTCAGCATAAATATTTTGACGACAATCTGGACATGGTTCTATTAGATGAGAAGGTAATACTTTGCGTTCTGTTAGTTTCTTTTTACTCTTTTTTTTTTCATTTCGTTCTTTGTGGGAGCAACATGTGGATATAGTGTTGTCCTTCTTGGCAAAGAACGAGTCTCCTCAAAATGTTGTAATCGTCCAGCTTGCAAGGATTAAGGGTTTTAGGGGTCACAAGCTTGAGTCACTTTATGCGAACAAGATGTGGATGAAGTGCGAACGTTTCTGGCAAACAATCAGTCTTCTCAGAACATCATAATACTCCAGCTTGCGAGGATAAAGGGTTTAATTTTTTTTTTAATATTTGTTAATTATTTTTAACTCTTTTATACTCTAATTGTCTCTCTATATATGACAAGGATTATCTTGGATTCAAATGTACCAGAGGTTGTAGTCTTCAAAAAATGGTATCAAGCGAGATCAAAATCGAACTTGATATTTTGTTGTTTAGTATCACTTATATTCAAGATTTTTTTCTTCTCAATTTTCTTATGTATTCTACACTATAATCCCCACTTCCAAGAATGAGACAATCTTATTTTAAATAATTTGACTTTTTGGCAAGAACATCTCTTTTTTGTTATTTTATTCCCTATCAATTCTTCAACTATTCCCTATCAATGTCTATTGGGCTTAATTTTAAGAAACATAAATATTTTAGATTGTTGAAAAAGCCACAAATCTTAATAATTATTTATTATTATTAATAACTCAACTAAAATGAATGACCATCCAACTACTGCATCGTAAAAGGATGTTTGTCATTAAGTATTTTATAGACTTTTTACTTGGAGAATGTGCGCAACATTCTATGCATGTTTTCAACTACTTTATGTATGGAAAATTGATAAGCCTATTAATAACATTTATTATTATGTCTATTTGGTGAAAAAATATATTTTATATTTAAAATTTAAAATTTTTAAATTTGAATTTTTAACTTTATAGGTAGGAAAAGAGTTAAACATTTAATGTTTTCCACTACTTTATGCATGGAAAAACGTTAAGCATATTAATAATATTTAATTTTATATCTATTGGTCTTAATTATTATACCTATTAGGATTAATTATAAAGCTAGAAAAAAGATATATAAAATAAATTTAAATTTAATATAAAAATATATTACGAAAAAATAATTAAAATTGTAAAAATATATGTATAGTTGATAAAAATAATTTAAATTTAAAATTTAATTGAAAAAATAAGAAATGACATATTTATAATTTAAATAAATTAAATTAAAACATTAACTTAAAATATGATTAAAAAAGAGAAGAAAAATTCATACAAGAAATTAAAAAAAATATATGTAACATAAATATTTTAAATTTATATGAATAACCAATTTAAAATTAAATATAAAAAATTACAAATTACAAATATCATTATGTAAAAAAAATAGGAAAAAATAACCACTATAAAAATGTAAGTTTTAATTTAATATATTAGAAATAGATTAAACTTTTATTTTTTGATGTGAGAGTGTAATTAACACAATTTTCTATGTTGTGAATGAATAAGTAGAAGTTATTATTTGAAGAATGTGCACATACTTCTATGCATGTTTCCCACTACTTTATGCATAGCAGATTATTAAGCCTATTAATGATGTTTATTATTTTGTCTATTGGGTGGAAAATATGTAAAATTTAAAATTTACACTTTTCAAATTTAAATTTTGAACTTGACAGGTGGGAAAGATCCAGCATTTAATATTTCTAACTACTTTCTGCATGAGAAATTGTTAAGTATATTAATAATATTTATTATTATGTCTATTGGGCTTAATTATTATTCATATTAGAATTAACTATAAAACTTGAGAAAAGATATATATAATAAATTTAATATTAATATAAAATTACTGATTAAACAAACAAAATTTAAAATTATAAAAATAAATATATAGTTGATAAAAAATAATTTAAAATTGAAATTTAAATGAAAAAAAAATAAGAAATGACATATTTATACTTTATAAGAAAATAAATTAAAAGCTTAACTTAAAAATAGTACAAAAAGATTAAAAAAAATTTCGTACAAGTAATTTTAAGAAAATATTTAATATCAAAGTTTTAAATATATATGTATAACCAATTTAAAAGTTGTATATAAAAACTATTAATTAAAAGAGAAAAAATTATTTTTTAAAAAATATATATAAATAATACTAAAGAATTTAAATTTTTTTAAATTTAAATAAAAAATTAATAATGATATCTATCATTCAGTAAATAATAAATTATAAAAATTTGACCACTATACAAATGTAAATTTTAAAGTAATAAATAAGAAATAAATTAAATTCTCATTCATTTTATGTAAGAGTGTAATTAACACAATTTTCTATGTCGTAAGTGAACAGGAGAAGTTTTTTTTTATGAAGAGTGAATAGTAGAAGTTATTACTTGGAGAATGTGCACAGACTTTTATGCATGTTTTCTATTATTTTTTGCATAAAAAATTGTTAAGCCTATTAATAATATTTATTATTATGTCTATTGGGAGGGAAAAAATTTAGTATTGAAAATTTAAACTTTTTAAATTTGAATTTTGAACTTTATAGGTGGGAAAAGGTTCATCATTTAATATCGTTCACTACTTTCTTCATGAAAAATTGTAAAGCATATAATAATAAGAATTATTATTATGTCTATTGGGATTAATTATTATACTCATTAGAATTAACTATAAAACTAGAAAAAGATATATATAATAAATATAATTTTAATATAAAACAAAAAAATATTTAAAATTATAATATTATATGTATAGTTGATAAAAAATAATTTAAATTTGAAATTTAATTGAAAAAATAAGAAATGACATGTTTATACTTTAAAATAAAATAAATTAAAAACTTAAAATAATAGATTATTCTTGAGGGCCGACCTACCCTGCCTGCCAAATAAGCAGGTTAGCCTGCCAACATGTTTTTTTTTTCGTTTATGTTTACTGTCTAACTATAGAAAACATATATAGATAGTAATCTAGACGCAACTATAAGAATCTTTTTTTGTGGATAAATATAAAAACCTATTACATGCTTATATAAAATGCTGACAGTTAAAGGTAGCAAAATGGGTTTGGCCCGGAGGGCCGGCCCAACTTGCCGGTAACACATTTTTTTCTTATGTTTACTGTCTAAATATAGAAAACGTGGATAGATAGTAATCTAGACGCAACTAAAAGAACTTTTTGTGTGTGGATAGATATAAAATCTATTACATGCTTATATAAAATGCTAACAGTTAGAGATAGCAAAATAGGCTCGGCCCGGAGGACCGACCCACCCATGCTCGCGAGTAGTTTTTTATATCTATTATTATGTTTATTGTCAAACTATAGAAAACATAGATAGATAGTAATCTAGACGCAAGTATAAGAATCTTTTTTGTGTATAGATATAAAAACATATTACATGCTTATATAAAATGCTGACAGTTAGAGGTGGCAAAATGGGTTCGGCCCGGAGGGCCGACCCACCTCGCCTGCCAACACATTTTGTTCGTTATGTTTACTGTCTAAATATAGAAAACGTAGATAGATAGTAATCTAAACGCAACTATAAGAACTTTTGTGTGGATAGATATAAAAACCTATTACATGCTTATATAAAATGCTGACAGTTAGAGGTGACAAAATAGGCTCGGCCTGGAGGGCCAACCCACCCATGCTCGCCAGCAGTTTTTTATATCTATTATTATGTTTATTGTCAAACTATAGAAAACATAGATAGATAGTAATCTAGACGCAACTATAAGAATCTTTTTTGTGGATAG